GTTTTTAGCTTGTGGACCCTATACAGAGGTCATAATTTTTATCCGATTTAAAATAACGTATTATTATATCACCATTACACCCTAAGGACGACTGAGTTTGAATTTCGTGAAAATCGGCCCAAAACTGACAAACAAAATGGCCGCCCTTTGTTCTCAAATAGCGTAAAAATATGGTATATCAAGTTTGAGGACCCTATAGCGATTTAGCCCCTTTAAGTAATCGCATCAACATTGTCTGACTAGTTAGAATTAGTGAATATTACAATCTGATTAAAACAAAGATCCTATTTCGTTTCGTTTTTTATAGTTCAAAATTTCGTTTTACTTGTCTTTACTACACTAGGATCTGGAAGAGTTGTTATCATTGATGTGTTCTGGATGATGTTAGGGATTAGCCAATGAAACGGTCTGTTACGGCAAGCTTTTGGCGAGAGGTGCACGAAACTGTGAGTAATCCACTAGAATCATCCATGCTGATTGGTTAATCAGATGTCTGATGTCATAGGTCAAAAGCCGCTCGTATGACCTCTGACGCGACCTCCCAAAGCAACTGGTCAGATCTTCATGTAGTGTAGGCCATTGAAAGTATAAAAAAACGAAAGGAAATGTAGAACTGTATTTTAATCAGATTGTGAATATTGCATCTGGTTGACGAAATGTGCGGTAGTGCACTTTTTGTATAATATATCTACTGATAAAGAATCTGTTTCAGACGAGTTATTTGTCCCTGAGAATTGGTTTCAGACGAGTTATTTGCGCCTGAATTTTATAATCTCACTTACGGACATGAATGAAATAGACTTTAGGGTTTGGACGTTATACTTGGTAACAGCTTAATAGTATTTTTGACAGTGATTTTTCCACGTTTCAAGCACCTGTGGCAGATAGTCCTGAAGCTGCATCCAAACTCATGATACAAATTTCAATTCTGTCTTGTATCATAAAAATACATGGTTTGCTTATAATACTTTGTGACATCTGTAATGACAATGTATCAAACAGCTTTACGCTAATAGCTTAAATTTATTCATAAACACATACACTCATTGAATAAACCATCAGCATTGAGAATGTGATATAACTTATCATTCCTTTAGGTAAAAAACATTTCGAGATAATAAAATTTATTGAAATATTAGAACTAAAAAAAGTAATAATAAAAATAAGTCCTAATTTCTTGTTCAAGTATATAGTATCTGTATGTGAAAAATACCTATCTTAAAATTTCCTAAGAAAAAGATAACTGCTAAAATATGTAAGCCTCAACTTGAAGTGTTCTATAAAAATTACTCTCAAGTATTCTGTAATTGGGTTGAGCTATGATAAACTGTAAGGTAATTGTGACTATTATGAAGGCTTTATTATACTATATTTACTCCTATTCTTGGCAATTCTCCATCAAGGTGACATAAAGTTGAAATGAATTCCACTTAACACTAAAAACTAAAATACTCAAAAGAAGATATTTTAAATAATTTATTGCGATTTTCCATTGTTTTTAGGTCATTTTGTTAAAATATTCTAGATAAAATGACAAATAAATATTTTCAGCCATATACAAACCAAAAAGTTTTGTAAAAATCTGTACAGTATTAAAAGCGATCAATCAGACTAAAATACAGATCTATATTTTGTTTCGTTTTTTTTATACTTATGATGGCCTACCCTACATGAAGATCTGACTGGTTGTAGTAAAAGGTCGCGTCAAGGGTCATAGGAGCGGCTTTTGACCCTATAACGTCAGACATTGATTAATCAGTCATCATTGATGTTGGACAAAAGGTGGACAAAATTACAGCAAGGTAATTCGGATCACTTGACATCAACATGAAGTTGGAATTCGTTTAGCACACGTAAAGGATCATAAATGATTGGTGTTGAAAATATCATCCACAATACAATTCATGTCATGTGAGATCAGTAACTTGCAAGTTATGCACAAAATGTGAATACAAAACAAAAAATATTTTCCAAAATGACAATAACCACCAAATTGGCAAAATTTGATAATCATAACTGGCTACTGTAATATAAATTGGATATCATTATCAAGATAAATAAAAAGTAAATTGTTACATTTATTTAATATTTAGTATTCACGATAGATTGTCACTGCACCTCAAATGACCAAAACTGCTAATCAAAAGTTGATTTGATTAGCAAAAATTTATTAAAACTGTTTTGCACTGCTAACCAATTGTCGACAGTTATTTTGTTCCCTGGCCTGAAATGTTATATAAACTATTAATTAGACATTTATTAACAAAACAAGACCATAATCAACTTTCAATGGTATCGAATGCTCAAGATTTTAACTAGATTAGAACGGTTCACCATTTAAAAATTTAATTTAAAAATGGGAAAGCGTGGCTAAGTCTCGAACATACCAGTGCCCTGGTTACCACAATGTCAATGCACACATCTTGTCAAAACTACAAACAGTGATAACTTGGCTCAGAAAGAAGTAATTTGAATGAAATTTTCAATAGTTTCATTTTACATTATCTATTTTTGAGCTGTTATAGCAAGAATGGTCAGCTCTTTATCTAAATCTTACATAATATATCTTTAACTTCATTCAAATACATCTTTACACTAATCTTAATTTGTCTTGTCAAAAAATTGCTATGATTTATTCACCTATGTCAGTTAGTCCAGAAATGACCTAGTTTGTGTCGAGTGGACGTTAAACCCCATTTCTCATCTATTCACCTATGACAGATATAGGACTTTTTTTTCTGAAATTGACAACAAAAGATAGGCTTTTGTTATTGGCTGCAAGTAGTGTGGCCAGCGGTGAGTGCACATCTATATGATCGGGTGAGCAATTGGTTTAACGCGCACTGTAGATCATAACGTCTGGGTTTCGAATCCAATCTTATACAAGTAACAAAGAGTAGACTTGCTCCAATTTTGTAGGTATTTCAGGTTACTATGAATCTCTCCCCCGTGAAAGATTTCTACACACTTTAGTCTGGAAGTGAACTAGCTACATGTACTGCTTGTGGATGTTAAACCCCATCTACTCTCTCTCTCTCTTGAAGACTATTTATTCTTCTTCTGGGTGCTATGTAACACTACAATACAGGTGGCTACTTTTAAAAATCATTTACCACACCTGACATTTTTTTTTAGAAGTTTTATACACCTGAGAATTGTGAAGATGGTGTATTAATTAATACATTAGCTGTACAATGTAATAAGAAAAGTTGTGAACAAAATACCCTAGGTATACCGGTAAATCACTGAAGTAGGACACATACATGTAAATACAAATAAGGTGTGTTCAAATTTTTGTAGTAGACTGAATAATATAATAGGTATTCATTGATAGAATATTTCATTGTATTGTATATCACAATATAATAATGACCTATATGTGCATCATTATAGAGATATTAGTAGTCATTATGATGTCAACAATATAAAAGTTGACTCAGTACAAATGTACAATAAAGGCTGGTATATATTTCCTCTCTGTGTAAACTCATGTACTATTTTAAGACTTTATTAGAGAGTCACCATTTTTATACGCCCACATTGAAATGTGGTTGTATATTGTTGTCGGTCTGGCTGGCTGGCCTGCATCCACAATTTTTTGGGACGCTCTAGAGGCTAAAGTTAATATCAGATGTATAAACAGTGTTTAAAGTCATAAGACAGAGAAGCCTATAGATTTTCATGGATTTCTGATAATTACTGCCAGAGTTATGGCCCTTAAACACTTTGAAAAATCTTGTGGACACTCTAGAGGCTAAAGTTGATATCAGATTGACTTAAATAAAAAGTGTTAAAGGTCATGAGGCGAAAAAGCCTATTGATTTTCAAGGATTTCCAATAATTATTTCCAGAGTTATGGCCCTTCATCACTTTGCAAAATCTTGTGGATGCTCTGGAGACTTAAAGTTATCATCCAATTGATCTTAAATTTATACACAAAGTTTAAGGTCTTGAGACGAACAAGTATATTCATTTTTGATAACATGAACAGCTAAATCCATGATATTAAATGTTTTGTATTAGAAGCCAAACAAATCCTAATGATTCCTGATAGTGTATCGTGAATATTGTAATTTTTGTTGACTACCCGGACGACTTAGCTGCTGTGGGTGTATGTTTCATTGCCTGGCAATAGGACACAATCACTGGGCTCTAATTGAGTTGAAATGTTCAAACTTGGTGCACATGTTCATTAAGTGAATGTCTTGATGAGCATTTTCTCCCTAGGCTGAGCGGAAATAAGCAATTTAGTGGTATATTTGTCAAGACTTTGGAACACAATAACTCTGCTTCTGATTGAGTTATAGGGTTCAAAATTGTTGTAGGTGGTTAGTTCGATCATGATCATTTTCTGCTTAGGCTAAACAGAGATGAGCAATTTAATTTGTCAATGTTTTGAAACACAGTAATTTAGAATCGTAATTGTAATGAAACTTAGTGTGTAGGCTCATTGCATCGATGCCTTGCCAATTTTCGATAATTAACAATTTCTGGTCCGGTTAAGCAGAAGCAGATATTAACAATTTGATTTGTCAATGCTTTGAAACAGGATAACTCTTGATTTTATTACTAATTTAGTGAGAGTGATGTAACTTGGTGTATAGTTCCATTACATCAATACCTTGACTATATAGTATGTTGATAATGAACAATTTGTGCCTAGATTAATAAGACAATTAAGTAATTTGATTGTTTGATGCTTTATAAAAGTATAAATATGCAAGTAATTAATGAGTGTCATCTATTTATTTTGGGATTGAGGCGGGGACACCAGCCTCACTGTTGGCTTTTTTTATTTGTATTGTCTATACCATGATTTATTAGACTTACTAAGCTGATGTCATATGTATTTGTCAATATCTCATCTGTTATCAAGCCTTAGTTTCGTATTAATTTATATTTGTATAGATAGTGCAAACAACCTATTATATAAGTATGAAACATTAATGAAATATGAATTTTAGTCTTAACTTAATATTGTTCTTTTGTATAATTTGCAGGTGGGACCATCATGTTGATCTATAAGCCAGACCTGAAAAAATGTGAGGAAGGAAGATAGTGCACTTGGTGACCCCTGTTGTGTATTATTGTGGTTTGAGACCACATGGAGTATAACATGCTAAGCGTTTGGTTGCATGTTATTATAACAATCATGGGGTATCAGTTACAAGTTGTTTTAAGTAATGACTGAATGAGACAATTAAATAGAACAAGCTTGTTTACAGTATTTAAAGATGTAATTGAACAAGTTTTGTGTGGTGAATGATTTCATGTGTTTATTAGACTAGTAGTTCAATATGGTGGCCAAGGTCTCAATTTGTGAATCCGAACTGATTTGATTGATCATAATGGCAAAGAAAGCAGAAGGGCGAATGTTTAACGTGGCTGTGATTGGGCCGTCGGGTACAGATAAAGATAAGGGACTGTGCGGTGTGGGTAAATCATTTTTGTGTAACCGTTTTTTGTACCAAGTGGCAGATAAATATCAACAAGAACACATATCAGTGTTAAGTCAAAGTGATTTCGCTGGTCGAGTCATCAATAACGATCACTTCCTGTATTGGGGAGAAGTGACGAAACTTGACGATGGCAACAACTATCATTTTCAGTTGATAGAACAGACAGAATTTATTGATGATGTTTCATTTCAACCGTTTAAAACGGGTCGAACTACTGAGCCCTATTATAAACGCTGTGTGGCGACTAAAGTGCAATCTCTAGAGAAATTGATGTATATTTGTAAGGAACAGTTAGGTAGGTATTGACTACTAACACATATATTCAAATAATCGCTTTAGAATATTTTTTAAAACTACTGAAACTGGTTTTTTATACGCCCACATGGAAATGTGGATGTTAGATGTATATTGCTGTCGTCTCCCTCCATCTGTCCGTCGTCCACGATTTCTTGTGAATGCTTTGATGCCAAAAGTTATCATCAGATTGTTTTAAAATTGATATACATGTATGATGTTTACATTATTGAGATGAAGAAGCCTATTTAACTCTCTAACAACCAAAGTTATCATCCGATCTGTATGATATTTATATGCATTATTTAAATTAGTGAAATGATGAAGCCTATTGAATTTCAGCCATTTCCATTAATTACTACTAGAGTTATAACCTTTGTTGCACCTTGTGAATGCTCTAACATCAAAAGTTATCTGCTGATCTGTATGAAATTTATATGCATCATTTAAATTAGTAAAATGAAGAGTGCTATTGAATTTCAGCAATTTCCGTTAATAACATCTAGAGTTATGGTCTTGTTTCACTTTGTTGAACCTTGTGAATGCACTATTGAATTTCAGCAATTTCTGTTAATTACTTATAGAGTTATGGCCCTTGTTTTATTTTGTTGCACCTTGTGAACGCTCTATCATCAACAGTTATTTGCCGATCTGTATGAAATTTATATGCCTCATTTAAATTTGTAAAAAGAAGAATCCTATTGAATTTCAACTATTTCCATTTATTATGTCTAGTGTTATGGCCCTTGTTTCCCTTTGTTGAACCTTGTTTATGCTTGATTGATGAAAGTTTTCATTTGATATGCATGAAATTTATGTGCATCATTTAAATTGGTGAAACGTAAGTCTACTGAATTTCAGCAATTTCTGTCAATTACTTCTAGAGTTATGTCCCTTGTTTCTGTATATTGAACCTTGTTAATGTTCAAATGACAAAAGTTATCATCCAATCTGTATGAAATTTTATGCATTATTTAAATTAGTAAAACGAAAAAGCCTGTCAAATTTCAACAATTTCTGTAAATTACTTCCAGAGTTAAGGCCCTTGTTTCAGTTTGTAGAACCTTGTGAACCCTCAAACGACGAAAATTATTATCTGATCTGTATGTAATTGTATTGTAAATACCCCCAATTACCTAGAAAAGAATAAATATGCAACCATCCTTGTTGACCGCTCGGACAATTTAGCTGCTGAGTTTGTATGTTTTGTTGCCTGGCAACCTATCTTTTTGGTGGTCTTCTATATTCAATGTCAATTAAAACTAATAGAAGTGGTCCTACTATTCACCAACAAGAGCTTTTTTTTGTCAATAGCGCCCAAAGTATTGTAAAAAATGAATATCCAGGAAAGGTGTGTTATACATGTACATCGTATTCTACACATCATGTCCAAAATTTAAATGATTTGATAAAAAATTGACAGAAATATTGATAATTGAAATTTGCGAAAACAAAGGCTGCAATGGAAACTTATTACTTTACCTTTGCCTAAGTCTGTTATTCACTGACTAATTAATTGATGAAAATCTCCATTGTTTTTGGCACATGCATTAAAGTTTTGATAATCTTGTGTTAGTACTGTTACAGGTAGTGTTTGGTCAGATTTGTAATCCAGTCCCCAATTAGGTTAACATAATTACATGTAGGTTAACCAAAATTTCGGAACATAAATCAGAAAAGAAATGTATTAATAATTAAGACTAGGTGTGTGTTTGTCTAATGCCTAAAGCGTCATTTATGTCAATATCCTCTTAAAGCGTGGGTGATGAATTGTTGTAACACCTGTAAAAAGGGTTTATGTCCGTCTTCTTAGAGAGATAAGGCAACACAAATAAAATAACTTGTTTCTCGGGCACCGCCCGCACGCAAAATTGGTTGCGCGTGCAGTCTATTTATTAGTCTTGATGAAAAAAAATAAATATGTAACGCCCGTCCGCACATCGACAAGCAAGTCGTAAAAAAAATATCCCGCATGTACCTACATCCGCCATACTTGTATATCTATTCAAATGTATTAAAACTGATTCAGATGAACATGCTGTCTTTTTTATCCGAACAATGGCGAAGTTTGGCAGATTTGCCTTTTTTATTGATATCGAAAGAACCTCCATTTTGTATCACGTGATATTAATTACCTCCCCTGATAAACTAGAATTTGATTCGTGTTAAAAGTCATTGGCGACAATATTTCAATCATTCGATCGTAATCGGCTCATTATTGCCGGCTTCAGTCGGTCCTTGTTTGGAAAATCCTATTGATAAAATAATGAACCGTAGAACAGGTTAATTAATTATAGCTAAGAATACGATACGATGACGATAGTCGTCATAATGCATACCTTAGAATCTGGGTCATTATTAGCACATTTACGGTAGTTTCGATAATCCGGAAAATAATAATTGGATTACCGATTTGATGGTTTTACTGACCAGTTGTTAGTTAGATTTAAATAGTCATTCAATATAAACACCGGATAGAACACCGAATATCCTGAGAAACACACCGAATATCCCAAGAAACAGTATTTCCGGCAATCTCCAATACCGATGACACGGTGTGACATGCATTGGTTGGAATTCGGTAAATAATTATAAATAAACCGGCGATACTAGATTTAGTTTTAAATACTGTTTACCATGATTATTATTTTTGATACACCTGGTGAAAGAGGCTTAGTTTTTAAAAATATTGTTGTCTTTATGGAGGGCTATTACATAGTCGTAATGGAATTTTATTTTAAACCAATTTCAATTATGTGAATTAAATATGGAAAATTATTTTCCTTTCAGTCAGTGTTCAGTCTCAGTGTTTTAGTAGACTTGATTTTGGGTTTATGTTTTAAGTATGTACAATAAAGTTGAATATAACGGAAAGCAAAAACGTAAACAAGTAATGACTTTCTCATTAAAAAAAAAAAAAAAAGAAAGACCGCCCTCCCGCCCCAACAATTTTCAGCAATAGCCAAATTTTATTTTGCACCATCAATGAGTAAAAAAAAAAAAGAAACCGCCCTCCCTCCCTACAGTTTCAGCTGTCAGTTGCCCGAGAAACAAGACATTTATTTTGTGTGGCCTAATATACAACATGTATTTAACGGAATGATTATAAATCCTAGCCTAGACTAAAGTTCTTTAGAAGGAATTTGTGGACAGAATCTCTACTCATTAACAAAGAACATAGGAGTAGAAAATTGTTAATGCGGGTATTTGTGTTAGAGTAGCTGTGTGGATCTTAGTAACATGACAAATAACACCATTCATATTGACAAGAGGATAACTTAACTGACTTGTTTCTATTGTCAACAAACACAGGTTTTAAAACAGATTTTGGCTAAAGATAAACTCCTTTAAGTTGGGTGTATTTTCTTAAATCCCATTAATGTCTCTAATTGTATACCTAACATAAACAATGTGTTATGTGCATGTTCATTGTAGTTGAGAATGAAATTCCTTAAATAGCTCTTTTGAGAAAAATATTATCTTGGCCTGTACATACATGTACAATGTACATGTACTTCTCTTAGAGTACCGTATGTACTTGAAGCCAGTATTTATTATAAAGACCTTAATCTGTTGCACACCAAGATGAGTGAAGATGCCTCAATTAATTTTAATCAGATTGGTGTGAACTTGCCATAGAGTATGTAGTAACAATCACTGACTATAAGTGCATAAAGTTTTGTTTGGCCATTTTATGTGCTCTTTTAAGTTCATGTATGTAATTAGAAATTCTGTAATGGACAGAATCTGGAAAAAAATAATTGTCTCTACATAGTACTAGTACCATGTACAATTTTACATACTAAAATTCATTTGTTTATTTCTTTGTCTATTTTGATAAAAGATTTCTCTTTGTGTCTCGAAATATTAGGGCTGATATTTCAAATGATAAACTTAAAATGTCATTTTCTTTGACTTCATGGTTGTTTGATTTGTTTTGCAATAATAAAATGTATGGTAATCGGTCTTTGTTGAAAATATATTCAAAGATAAAGCTAATATTGAGATATAATCGATTCTCTGTTCCTACATGCATGTTGACAAAGCACACTGTACATGTACACGTAAGTTAAAAAACAAAAAAAAAGTAAACTCAATAGATAAACTGACTGACGTTTAATCCTTTAAAACAAATTTAATCGTACAGAGCTTATCTCATAACACATCGAAAAGATGAACCAAATTCAATAATTTATTTTGACCTAAATCGACCAGATGTATGCACAAGTATGTAACTTAACATTTCACTCTACTTCATTTCAGGAATGGAGAATGACACAGCTTACGAACAGAAATTAATACCAGATGGTAAAATTAATATTGATGGATTTATTTGTTGTTTTGATGTTAGTAATGTTAAAGATAGACCGATTGAAAAACAAGTGGACTTTGTGGCTCTAATTTTAAACCAAGCTCTTAAAACTAAGAAACCTGTCGTGCTGGCAGCGACTAAATGTGATGAAGCTGATGAACGATACCTGAAAGAAGCAGAAAAGTTATTAAGTCGGAAAGAGTTTAAAGGGAGCATTCCATTGGTAGAAACTTCGTCACAAGAGAATGTCAATGTCGAATTAGCCTTTATGACTCTTGCCCATTTAATTGATAAAACAAAACCAAGGACAAAAGTGATTCCATTTGTTGAAGCGAGAAAATCCAGACGTGAAATTTTAGCGGTTGCGAAAGAAGCTTACAAAAACTTACTCCGACAGCATATCAATGACCCCAAGGCCTTTTGGGGAACATCACAAAAGAAATTTGAGAAAGAGCCTGATTTTGGACATTTTGTAGATTTATTTGGAACGGATGCTGCTCACAGAGACTTTAAGCAACATGTAAGAAGATTACGCGAAGAACAGATTAAAGCTAAAGAGAGAAAATATTACAGTCAGTTACCACATATACTTAGTCATTTATTGCCTAGTCTAGATCTAGTTGAAGACAGGTATATATAACATTAAATATAACTAAATCCCCTATTGTTAAGCATCTGGGCAAAATTTGACCAATATTAAAACAGTTGTGTGTCAAGAGGGATGGGCAATATTTTGATATGTTGGTTATCACAGGTGTGAAAATTCTAGTAATAAATATCGTCATGTAAAAAAAATAGCAGCATTAGGCTACACAAAACTTAATATCAGGGTAGTTGATAATGTGGGAGGGTAGGATGGCTTCTTTTTTTTTTTTTTTACCTTGTTGCAGGCTACAGGATGGTGCAAAATAAGATTTGGCTATTGCTGAAAATTGTACTGTAGGCAGGAAGGCAGAACATTACAGAAAGTCATCACTTATCTACGGTTTTGCATTCATTTATTGTACATACTTAGAACATAAACCGAAAATCTAGTCTATTCAAGCACTGAACACTGACTGAAAGTCCCGGCTTCAAGTGCATGTCAGTAATATTCCTTGGCCCTTATTCACGAAAACTTAAACTAAGATAAAATCAAAATTTTAAGAAATACTGCAATTCGATTGGCTGACCAGTAAAATCAGTTTGCATATATCCAATGAAGTTGCAGTATTTCTTAAAATTTCGGATGTAGATTATGTGAGGACTGAGAAGTATCAGTGGTTTGAAAGAGCTCACTGACAAAAACTTTTTAGTGAGGGCACCAAATTAGACTCTGTACTAGTTTCGATGGTGATGTAAACTTGGTACCCATTTGTCAAGTTAAAGGACAATATTGGTGCCAGTCATTATCACATATGTGATAGAGCTGGTTAAACACATTCCAAATATAATTTTAACACAGAGATCATTGCTACGATAGCTGAGTAATACAGTTTTCCAGAATCGGAAGTGACGAACGCCAAAGGAAAACACAAGTCTTCTCTCTATATAACTGACTGATGTGACGAGTGATAACGGATATACGGGCGAATTTCTGCTCACTAATAATTCATTCGAAGACCAAAAGTTGTTGTATGAGATTGTGAGAGGATATCTGACAATTCATAAAAAGAATTGACTGCCACTAGATAAGTGAACACGAAAGAAAAACAGAAAAAGTCCATGCATTACCATGTTTTTATAAAGTATAGAATGAATATAAACAAGGGAATGTACGGACTATATCTATTTTTCTCGTGTTCTCTTATCTAATGACATTCAATTACTTTATTGAATTGTCGGGTATCCTCTTACAGTCCCATATATCAACTTTTGGTCTTCAAAGGAATTATTAGTGAGCAGAAATTCGGCCGTATATCCATTATCACTCGTCACATCAGTCAGTTATATAGAGGTATGACTCGTGTTTTCCTTTGGCATTCGTCACTTCCGACTCAGGTAACCTGTATTACTCAGCTATCGTAGCAATGATCTCTGTGTTAAAATTATATTTGGAATGTGTTTAACCAGCTCTATCACATATGTGATAATGACTGGCACCAATATTGTCCTTTAAAAGTACACGTATCCACCCTCACAAACTGACTCCCCTCGCTGAATCCTGATGTGAACTTGGGTCCACACTTGTCAAGGTTAAAGTCACCATGGGCAGACAAGACAAAGTGGATTATACCAACAACTGAGTTTGTGTGCATATTAACAGTGCATGTAAAATTTACCTAGACATAATTTGAAGATGACATTTACATGTACCGTAAGATGGGGTGAAAAAGCCGCTGTCTTGGCAAGATTCTTCATCCTGGAATATATTTCATAGTTGTACTAGTTAACGGAAAATAACAAAAACATTAGTCTCAAAATGAACTGTGTTGTAATTTTAAAATTTACATCCTTTGCAATTGGCACTAGTGCTCCTACGGCTAGTCGGATAACCATAAACGGTTAGAATTGGATGGTTAAATAGCTTAAATTGAATGCTATGGTTATTCGCAGATGTCCACCATTACATATAGTTACATGTATGTCCCATTATATTCCTCTTTATAACCAAAATTTTCTGTTGTCCTTCTTTTGTATTTGATGTTTGAAAATGTTAACAGCTTAAAAATAATACTATTAATAGCACTTAGTCGTACGGCAAAGTCAACAGACCTTGTTCTGACTTTTGCTATAGTTATATCTTGTAATTTCTCGCAGGAATTCTACTTTGGATTTTACATGTAGTTGAATTCTACTTGCAAGCCCAAGATTATTTCTTTATTGTCCAATCAATAGACGCCTTCCAATTTACTTTATTCTATTCTTAGTAACATTGTATAATAGTTATATTATCGCAATATATTATGTACAGCAGGAAACAGAGTATTGTTTTGTATATTATTGTACATATTGAATTAAAAATTTGTTCAAATGAACCAAGTTAAACAGGTAATCAAATAACTATGACCTTAGTAGTTTTAAATTTTCCATTAAAGAATTGTACATTTCCATGAAAAGTTTCCAGAGTAAATGCCTTTTAGATAAGTATAGCGTGCGCATGAGTAATACATCACAACTCCTGAATAGGTCTGTTTTATGTTAAAAATAGATACCAAATGGTTAAATGGTTACTAACCGGTTAATAGCTACGGTTATTTGAATAACAAAAAGTCCTAACAATAAGAGCACTAATTAGCACCTTGTATTTTTCAGAACTTGGTCAGTAATACAAAGATATATTAAACAGCATGAAGATAGTTCTAAGTATTTTGTTCAAGTGTGTGATTCTGAGGAGGATAGCTGGAAAGATGTAGATAAATTTATAGACTCTTATGAAACACGTTTACCATTTGATTTGCTCAACACTCCTGAGGCAGATACATGCTTCCGAAATCAACTTAATGAACTACAAGTAAAACAGAGGAAAAGAGAGTAAGTCTTATGTACATGTAGTGATCAATTGGGGCATACTATTGAAATAAAAGTAAAAATATCTGGTAAATTAATGTTGAATTTTGTATTTAAAGGCACTTTCCAGAGTCACACTTGCCTTAGTGACTTTAGTAACGTGTCTGATGCTAGCTTCTCACTGTTAGTGTTACTGTCTGTCCTTATACACATGTAATATGAAAATAACGCTTTACACCACCTTGCTTCTAAGGTTATTTTGGAATCCTTACCGTCTTTATTTCACCATAATTCTTCTTTGCTCGCCAAAAGGAATCATTTCTAGACACATCTGACACAAATTTATAATAATTCAACACTATTTTCAAGTAGAATTTTGCGATTAAAATACACAAATTTATTTGAAATGGACTCCCATGATGAAACCAGCACTTGCGCATACTTTAAATTAGTGAAACGATGAAGCCTATTGAATTTCAGCTAATTATGTCCCTTGTTTCATTTTGTCGAACCTTGTGAATGCTCTAATGACAAAAGTTATCCTCTGATCTGTATGAAATTTATATGTATTATTTATATTAGTGAAACAAGAAGCCTATTGAATTTCAGCAATTTCCATTAATTACAACATTTCTTGACACAAATGCATGAAAAGAAGGATATTTTTTTTTTAAAGAAAATTGGGTAAAATGCTACAATCTCGGCAAAATTCTTCTCTCTAGTAAAAATTTGTATGTTTATCTCAAAATGACTGGGGAAATAAAATTAATGTATTATATCACAAATAGAGGGAATAAATTTTGACTTACCACAGACTGTGTTACCTTTTAAAATTACATTAAGTGATACATACTTATGAATTCAAATTATACTGCTTGATATATTTCAGATTACAGAAACAATTTAAGAAATTATTAGAAGAAAATAAACATGTTACTCCTGGTAAACCACTTGGTGAAACTTATGTGTTTTTTGTGGGTAAAGACTGTTACAATGGATTAGGTGATCTAGAGAAAAATGCTGTGTATGAAGAACATCAACAAGACATTAAACAGAAAGCTAAACAAGAATTTCAGGAACTTTTATGGGAGAAATCTCAAGTTTTCCTTGGTTTAAACTCAACAGGACGACTCACTCCAGAACATCTGAAGAAAATCAATCTAGCACTTCAAGATGACCCAAGGTTTGTATAAATAATAGTTCGACATATACTTTCATTAAACTGTGGTCGTCAAGAGTGTAGATCACTGTACAAAAAAGTCTTAGGATTAAACCTGGAGTGGATTAAAAAGCCTGGATTTGGGATGGCATCTGCAGGGCTTGCCATTCACAAGGTAGGGAAAAAAAGGGAGGTCCACCAATGTGCAAATGATAGTGCATATAAACAAACCTCTGGCAATTAGAATTTAAAACAGAATGAAAAGAGAAACAGACAAATCGAATGAAAACAGAAACAGAAATCTCATTAAAGTTGCATTATGTAAGATTTAAACAAAGAGCGGGCAGTTCTTAGTTTAAAATATATATACATGTATATATTGCAATTTTAATTCAAATTACTTTATTATGGGTGAAGATATAACTATGATAACCAAGACATAGTCTTGATTATCCATATTGAGTTCAAATCCATTTAAATCTTTGCCATCCGATGCTCTAGAGAGTTGATTATAGGCTTGTCATGTGAATAAATGTTTAGATGATGATTTATATAAGATTTGAAACCAGAAAAAAGATCTGCAATAGACAGATTTAGCTCTTACATAATTTGTATTTAACTAGGAAGTGTATTGTACATGTATTTATATTAAAGAATGTTGTTATAATATCACTTAGTACAAAGGAAGTTATTACTAACCAAGCATAGTTACATTTAAGTATCACATCAATTTAACTTTGTCTGTTTTGATATATGAAGCAGAAGGAGATACTAAGTTAAATGCATTTGGAAATAACCAAAGCTCAATTTTCATAGTGACTATGACGATTTTATTTCCCTATTTGATTAGTAAAAATGATGATAGAAAAAATTATAGATTAATGATCTAGAGTTCTGTGATATCCCTACAAATATCGCAATATATTTAGAAAATATTGCGATATTATCAGTATGTCACGATAATTTATAGAATGTCAGTAATTTATTGTTGACCACCTTTTAATTGTAAATAAACATGCATAAAAGGTTGGACAAACCCTCTGAGTATTCACTTGACATTTTATTGTCAGTATTATTAAAAATTAAGCATAAATATATAGTATTTTCAAACAAATGATCAGGTTCAAAAATAGATCTAGTCACGAAGACTTGCTTAAAATGTTGGTCTATGTTGTTGTTGTTTATTACAATTTTAATGTGGAATACATTAAATATGATATTATGGACAAATTGATTTAATTAAGAATATTTGCATATGAACTTATGAAAGGGGCATAAAATGGGTAAAAACATAAAAAAAGTTTTTGTTTGTACATGTGCGTTTTTATATGCCCACATTTTCATGTGGATGTATATTGCCGTCGCCTGTCCGGACATCTGTCCACAATTTGTTTGTGGACACTCTACAGGTCACAATTTTTATTCGATTTTGATGAAACTTAAAATGCATATTTATAACCCAAAGATCTTGGTTCCTTTCAATATTTGCGCATATCTGATCGTAACTTCCTAAATTATGGCCCCTGATTGTACGAAAAATCATGTTTTTAGCTTGTGGTCCCTCTAGAGGGCACAATTATTATCTGATTTAAAAACCCGTTTGAATATGTCACCATCACACTGTAATGATGCTTGAGTTCGAATTTTGTGAAAATCGGACCAAAACTGCCGTACAAAATGGTGTAGAAATATGGTATATCAAGGTTGTGGACCCTCTAGAGGTCATAATTTTGATCCGATTTTAAATTCATGAATCATGAATCCGATTCATGAATCATGGCCCTTGATTGTATGAAAAATCATGTTTTTAGCTTGAGGTCACAATTTTTATCAGATTTGAAAAAAAAGGTTTGAATATATCACCGTTACACCCTAAATTGCCTGACAAAATGGCCGCCTCTTGTACCCAAATAGTGTAAATATGGTATATCAAGGTTGTGGACCCTCTAGAGGCCACAATTTTGATGAAATTTGAAATACATATTTATTACCCAAACATCTTGGTTCCTGTCGATACTTGCGCATATTGGATCGTAACTTCCTGAATTATGGCCCTTGATTGTACGAAAAATCACTTTTTGTTTAGCTTGTTTTCCATCCATCTCTTGCAAAATGTGGGCGTATCCTGCCTGGCAGTTGCTGGTTATAGCTACGATTGGAAGCTATGCAGACTTGTTTTTCTAATTCAAGCATATGTTGTTTTGAAAATGGATTTTACATTTACAATAAAAAGAAAACTAAATTAAACTATAAAATGTCAGTTTTGTCTATAAAAAAAACAAGTGTCCATTAGGTATTTATCGGATCAGAGACCGCCATGACACATTGACATTATAATGACAATCTGTCTACCAATACTCTCGATATTGGCTAGTTAGCATTATTAATATTTCGGCCTTAATAAAATTTATTTCACTAAAAAAACCGATGATTCCTTTGAAAAATCAAAGCATCGGCTTACACAATTCGTCAAGATTCATATAGAAAATAATTGATCAAGGGCAGAGGCGATTATAACAGTACTGGCCAGATGAAAAAAAAGAACGGCGAGATGTCACATGTAGTAAACAAAGCTGTAATGCTGTTTGCTAACTTCATGGAATGAAACTTGGGAGTTTTTGACATTATTTATTGCTCTTTATTCATAATTAATTAATAAAATATGGTAAATTACATGAAAAGAAAAATATTTTTTCAATATTTATTCTAAATATCATCCAGAAAAATCAAGGTATATTCTGTTTTTGATATTTTTTTGAAGACAGTATTTTTGGCTGTTTTTATTTCTGTGACAGTTTTATATCGAAAAACCCAAATATTGCCCAGCTCTATAATGCTCTTATATACTAAATGTCATTTACTTTGTGTCCAATAATAGAACAGTCAATCACTAGATTTAGTTTCTTATGGGGTTTTGTAGTCTTAGACTGCGTCTTATAGATTCAGTTCCCTTTTTGGGGAGGGGGGGGGGCATAGCTTTTATTTATGAAAATGAAGGTCTCAGGAACAATCTCTTTCTGAGAGATAGATGTTTTAAATCTTCTGAAGGTATGCACGGAAACATAGATTCTTAGAATGTGTAAACTGTAGGAAGTCCTGTTCATATTGATGATCAAATATTTGGATCAAGGAAGTATTCAATCAGATAGAACAATAAAACTTTGTCTGTTTACTACTGATATTCAGATGACATTAAGATATTATTGAATCCAGGTTCTGTTGTACAATGAAAATAAATAACAATAGTGTATGTGTTGTAGTACATTTAAATTTGGTTTCAAAATATATACTCTTCGTAATATTATGGGAAAAAGAATTAATATTATGGGAAAAAGAATTAAATAATGTCAACTACATGTATATATATATACATGGTGCACCACAATATAAGCCTAATTAAAGTAGTTATTTATTCAAATAACACACTATTTATGGATAACAATTACTGTGGTTTATTTCACTGCGACGTTTCAACAAGATTTCACAAGTCGTTATCAAGCATATAACACAAATAAATAAAATGAAAACAAAATAGCTATATATATATACACGAGCAGTGCGAACCCTCCAATGGGATGCAAAATCAGCAAGCATGAACAACTGTCCCAAGCCATTAAATAAACAATGTACATAGATGGTTATAAACTGTAATTGGTATAGATAAGTGCAAGAATGAAGCCAAAGGATCAAACAATTATTAGCAGGTATAATGAGTCACGAGCAACTGGTCCTGACTGTCAAAACATATTAAATAAATCTATATATATATATATATATATATATATATATATATATATATACAGTAATTAGTTATAGATGAAAGTAATAATAAAAGATGAAAGGACAAGTATTATGGGGGGTGAAACTGAGGCCATAAGCAGTTAATCCTAACAGTGAAGGCAGTATGCAGTAAAGCAAATTGTAATTGATTTGAGGAGATGTACAAAGTTAAAAGCAATACAAATATTAAAATTAAAGGATAGTTCAGAGACGATGTAAACTACATTTTAATGATGCGATCATACGCTCTTGGAATGTAAATTCCTGGGTCCCTGTTTAGTTTTGGTTCATGCCTGCGTATATTAATAGCTTCATGGGTTCTTCGGTTTCGTTTGTTGTGGCAATTAACAGCTAACTTTTTGACGTTAGTCCAGTTCACTCGTTGGCGCGGGTTTTCAAATAGGTGTTCGGCAATGGCAGATTGGTTGGTGGGTGTTTTCGACATGTGTTCTTTGATTCTGATGTCTAAGGGCCTCTTCGATTCTCCAATGTATGATTCCCCACAGCTGCAGATGACTTGGTAAACACACCCTTTTGGGGAGATGGGTTTGGTGGGGGTTATCTTACCATTTGCTTTTATTAAATCCTTGGTTGTCTTGCCTTTGAGATATGTGGTTTCTATCTGCGCTTCTTGTTTTAATAATCTTCTAATTTGGTGGGAGATGTTTCCGTGGAAGGGTATAAACACTCGTATAGGGGCTTTATCAGGTTTTAGTTTATCTGGTTTTGGTAGGTCGGATAGTGTGGAATTAATAATCTTTTTGACCATCTGTAGCGGATACCCATTGTGTTTGGTGAAAACGTCTGTAAGGTGTTGTACTTCGTGGGGGAGTGTTTCAGGGTCACAAATGTTTTTGGCTCTTTTTGTTAGGGTGGCGACGACGGCTGCCTTAGTGCTGTTAGGGTGGTTTGATTTATAATGAATATACTGGTCCGTGTGGGTTGGCTTTCTGTATACTGAGGTAATTATTTTAGAGTCCTTTCTTTTAACTAGTATGTCTAGGAAAGGAAGACTGTTGCTGGTTTCATTCTCCATGGTGAACTTGATCCTTGGGTGTTGGTTGTTCAAATGGTGTAGTAGGATACCCGCATCATCTTGTTCTTTAATCATGACAAATACGTCGTCAACCTTACGAGACCAGAATAAGGGTTGGAATGGTGCAGTTTCAATGGCTATTTCTTCCAGTGACGTCATGAAAATTTCTGCTATCAGTTCACCATGGAGAATGAAACCAGCAACAGTCTTCCTTTCCTAGACATACTAGTTAAAAGATAAACTAAAACCTGATAAAGCCCCTATACGAGTGTTTATACCCTTCCACGGAAACATCTCCCACCAAATTAGAAGATTATTAAAACAAGAAGCGCAGATAGAAACCACATATCTCAAAGGCAAGACAACCAAGGATTTAATAAAAGCAAATGGTAAGATAACCCCCACCAAACCCATCTCCCCAAAAGGTAGTGTTTACCAAGTCATCTGCAGCTGTGGGGAATCATACATTGGAGAATCGAAGAGGCCCTTAGACATCAGAATCAAAGAACACATGTCGAAAACACCCACCAACCAATCTGCCATTGCCGAACGTCAAAAAGTTAGCTGTTAATTGCCACAACAAACGAAACCGAAGAACCCATGAAGCTATTAATATACGCAGGCATGAACCAAAACTAAACAGGGACCCAGGAATTTACATTCCAAGAGCGTATGATCGCATCATTAAAATGTAGTTTACATCGTCTCTGAACTATCCTTTAATTTTAATATTTGTATTGCTTTTAACTTTGTACATCTCCTCAAATCAATTACAATTTGCTTTACTGCATACTGCCTTCACTGTTAGGATTAACTGCTTATGGCCTCAGTTTCACCCCCCATAATACTTGTCCTTTCATCTTTTATTATTACTTTCATCTATAACTAATTACTGTATATATATATATATATATATATATAGATTTATTTAATATGTTTTTACAGTCAGGACCAGTTGCTCGTGACTCATTATACCTGCTAATAATTGTTTGATCCTTTGGCTTCATTCTTGCACTTATCTATACCAATTACAGTTTATAACCATCTATGTACATTGTTTATTTAACGGCTTGGGACAGTTGTTCATGCTTGCTGATTTTGCATCCCATTGGAGGGTTCGCACTGCTCGTGTATATATATATAGCTATTTTGTTTTCATTTTATTTATTTGTGTTATATGCTTGATAACGACTTGTGAAATCTTGTTGAAACGTCGCAGTGAAATAAACCACAGTAATTGTTATCCATAAATAGTGTGTTATTTGATTATGTTCCAATTACTAAATGCCATTTAAAGAATATAGTTATTTATTCATTTATAAAACCCAGTCACGCCCAGTCTTGGTATGAAGGCAGTTAACACATCTACAAATTTTTTGAATCTTACAAACCTGCACATTCCTTAAATATAATTCTTTAGTTCTGAAGTCGTTTAGCTACCGAAATAACTTTTATTTACAGTAAATGACGTCATAGTGAGATAAACGATGGGAATTATTCAATGATTTTGACTGAACTGAAGCTTAAACTAGTAAAAAAAAATTTAGATTAATATGCATATTTAACAATTCGTAAAATTAAAAGCTTATTGATGACGACAAATTATTCTGGCTTACATAGATTTATTGCCTCTTGAACAAGACTGCACTACACGCCAAACAAAACTGATAAATACAAACCTGCAGACAGAAAAAAATACACAGACATTGCAAGAAATAAACAACAAGTATCAATTCATTTGAATGGATCCCGGGGCCAGCTTTAAGCGTTCACTGCGCTATACAGTCCCAGGCTGGTAATAATACAGGCTTCACAAAATTGAAAAATAAAGTGACTTACAAGAAAGACGTAATGCGACCAGCCTTGACAGGTCTTCTGAATGGCGATAGTCTGCCAATTGATGTCATGAGTGAGAACATCAAAAAAATTTAACAACAATAAGGGCGATAATCTGGATAGAATTTTGGAAAACTCTAAAAATTAATATAGTTTCATGAGCAAACAGGAGCAAGTCAGTATTATAATTTTCCTGTTTTTTGTATTTTATTAGGTATAAAATGTTACAGAGATTAGAAGAAGATCGTAAAGTGATGATATTAAATCATCTAGGTTTTATCGAATGTCCATCAAAAGATAGATGTTATTTTAAAGAACAATGTATAGACAGTCAAGTTCAAAAAGTGCTTTCTAACAGAAGTAGCAGGTAAGATTGTGGCATTTGTAAGACAGAAATCTGAATATCATCAGGATTATTAGTGAAAAGAACAATCCAGTACAACCTTACCAACAGTGAATATTGGACTGGAACCATTGGCAGGATATTAGATTTGTCTTCGTTTTGGTCAAATTTATGTGTTGTTTACTTGTGTTCAAATATTTGTGTATAGAACCTATTGTAAATTGGGGTTGGTGAAGCTGTTTCACTAAAAGGCATACTTAGAAATGTCAACATTTTGTACAGACTTGATGTGTTCAAAATGTAATGGTGTTCGTGATTCAGCAATTTGCATGATTCAGTATATATTCCTTTGTTCTGTAATCTTGTTAACATGAAGAAGCTTTTTTCCCTTCAAAACATCTTTGTAGTCAGTCTATATGAATAGGAAAGGAGATGAAGATGCAGTGTACAATTTGCAAATAAAAGTTGACATGACTGTTGGAATTTAATATAGAGTCAGTGGAAACACTAATGTCATCCTTTCTGGTCCTCCTTAGCAAAAAATCCATATGTTAATCTCAAAATAATTACAGTGTTGATAAAATGTTAATCAAAAGGTACCGGTATTTATAATATTTTCATTGTAGTATAATTTTTAAAAGCTTTAATAATGTGGGTAATTTATGATATAAAATTATTACAGACCGACATCACAGTTAATAGAATCAGTAGAAGACTTAGATTGTGAAGTGAAGCCATTAAATCTAGTATTACTTGGTAAAGAAGGTGTAGCTACTGAACTCAACAGAGAAATCAGGGTAAGATATATTATAATCATTGAACACTAAACTTTTAGCTTACATTACTGCATGAAATGTACCTTAATGTAAAGATATATCTCCTTGAAAGTCCTAAATACATAACCCTCAGATAAAAATATTTGCACTACTGGCACAAGGTTAATTGTGAGCAATTGTCTTTCTTCAAGATACTTCAAGGGAAGCTTTTTTTTTGCCAATCTGCTAATTTTAACATAGGTGTTAACGAGTGATGGGATTTTGACGTATATTCCGGACATGTCTGACGCTATTTTCCATACGACCTAAATTGTCTGACCAAAAATATGCCCAATTGGACATTAAGACATGGTGAATAATATTCAAGATTACAAAATTAATATAGTGTACTGAGTGTACAGCTACAACTCAACCCGATTATCGTTGATAATAGACTGGATTGATTAAATAATTAAGAGAACGTATTTAACATGTGATACCGTCTATACACCTACATGTACCTTGATTAACTACTTAATCTGCCTTGATTGACTGACTTAATCCGTTGTCGAACAATTCATCAATCCAATCCTGAACAGAAGTCATTCCTTCTCCTTTGTATCAATCCAATAAGAGTGATTATAATAAACTTAATCTACATGATTAACTTAGAGTTTCCCCATTGTCGAACATTTTAATCTTACTGATGTCAGTTGACAACATCTAGAAACTAGTTATATATGTCACATATCCTATTATATCCATTAACTTGTCACACACACACGTGGTTATGATATACAATAACTGAAATCAAAAGTAGAAATCTTGCGAGAAGAATGAAATTACAAGAGATGTAAACATGACAATTATCACATGGAAAATGTCAGAGAAAAGATTCTATTTTGATGCATATTCTCGGGTTTATGATAATATTTTGAATGGGGTTTATGTTTTAAAAATAAAAATAAACAAGCTGAGAGAGGTCGACAAATTCCGAATTCGATTGTAGTGTAAGTAGTTAATTGCTTTACACGATTGCGCGTGCAATCAGAGTCGAGCGCTATTATTCAGCAGATACTCGATCTCTGTCATGGAGCGTCACTTGTGGCCTAAAAAGGTTAATTTTTACCTCCATCCGTATATTAGTCGAAACGGAGTATAAGATGAATGCCTGACTTCTTCTGAAAAAAGGGTCGACCTAGACCCGAAAAATATTTGAAACTTGGAGGAATATTACTGGCATGAATTTGATAGACAGTACGGGTCGACAGTACTCGGCACGCTTTCATTCTATCGTATTACGACAACACATAATTTTGTAGGAATATTCTGACATAAATTTTATTACGCAAGAATTTGAATATTTTGTTGACACAGGATTTTTGTTGGTGGTCTAAAACTGCCTGCTTAAATAACGATAATAGTTATGTCCCTTTATTTTCGGTAAAAATGTCCGACGAGAAATTTTTTGAAATCCCATCACTGGTGTTAACTAGTAACAGTGTGAGTAAAATTCATGTCAAGATAGCAAAGTTCGACTTATTGCTTGCCGCTGTATAAATATTAACTCGTTTAATTTAAAGTCTTGCACAAAAAATGGGTCTTGCTGTACTATAAATTTTAATTTTTCAGCGAATTTGTTCAGATGATGAATACATATATCAGAATGTAACATATAGTTTGGATTATAGACCAATAGATGGAGATGTAAGCCTAGATCATAATGCTTTAGGTACAGCTAATTTTAAACCACATGGTACGTGTTTGGATTCAGTATTGACAGGTAACAAAATGTTTAACTTGTTTATTGAAATGCTGACATGTGACTTGTCTTGTTCAGAAAACACAGCATGGTGCCTGCCAACTTATCTGGTATGATTTTAAATTTAATTTCATTTTCTAAATCTACGTACATCTACGCATCTTAATTAGAGCTTTAGATATTAGTCCCCTACTGGTGAAACCAGAAGGGACTATAGGTTTACTCTCCGTCAGTCTGACGTCTATCCATCATTTTTGTTTTCCTGATCTTTCTAAATTGGAACTTAAGAGATAGTTACAGATCCAGTTCCAATTTTCGAGCAATTACGGTAATTTTTGACAGGCCGATGGTCCTTTATTGACTATAAATCAATGGAAATTCTGTTTGCTGGAATTATTTTTGGTAAAATTTCCAAGTATTTGATTGAATGGTGGTACACTATTTTATTGTCGAGTTACAGACCAATTCAGTGAAATTTAATTTTTGCCTGATGTATTCCATCTATACGTATTTGGATTATATATTCATAGAGATGTATTTGCAGTATCAGACTCTTATAGATGCATGCATTGTAAAATTTGTCGCGGCTGTAAAGAATTGTTTCAGCAATAATATAAGAATGCTTGTTGATACTCGTGTAAAACAAATATTTAAATAAGTTTTGAATATATTTGTAGTTTATAGAAACCTGACACAGTCATGTGTATTATAAACCATGTTATTTTCACCACACAATGTGCAATTCATATCAGACTTTTGTCAGTTGTTGCTTCACTCATTGCAACTTATGGTTACTTTTGAACAGTTTTATTTTGTCAAATGATGTGATTTTAGAAGGCATTTTACTAAATGTATTAGAACATAGTAATCAGGATCTAAACACAATCAATTACAAGTTCACAGTTGTTAAGGTCAGAATGCAATGAATTGACTGTTTTAAGATTCCTGATACGTAGGAATTTAACTGGTCAAATGTCATTATTTTATCAAATGTAAGATCAATTATATAAAATTTTAATCCTATAAAAAAAGGAAGACAATGACACAGTTGGCATAAAATTTGGATAAATGTATATGGCATAAACATAGCTATTTAAGGAAGGCGTATTAATAAGGTCTAAATATTACATCACAGAGAATGACTACTTCAGACTAGTTGTTGCTTATCATACTTACAATTACATTGTATGTAAGAAATTGTAAACCGCATGTCGTTCTGTTATAGTAAAATTTGCATGTTTTACTGAAAATTTATCTACAATATTTATCTCAGCTTTAGATAGTAATAGCAATAACATAGTCTATTGTATTGTTCAAGCTTTTTAAGTGTGTTTTTGCCAAATATGTTAAATTTTGTCTTTTTATCAAATGTAAGGTATATCGCATAGGATACTTGTCAAAAAACTGAAATATTTCAATTTTTGGAAGGAGCACATTTACTGTTTCTTAGTGTGTGCTTTTGTGATACCTTTTGTTGTTTTCTTCGTTCCTTTTTACACAGTCACTCAATTATACTATAAAACAAAAATTGATTGCATTATGTTTATAAGGCTAAATATGCTAAATGAAACCATTTTTCATACAGCATTGATTCCTTTCTGCATTTCGCAAATAGTTCTTGCTTAATAGTATATATATGTATCTTTAAATTGTCAATTATATTTTCATTTTGAATATCTTTGTTGTAGGTTGTTTGTGTGTTTATAATTCGGTAGAAACATTAGAATATATTCGTAGTAGTCTTGAACAATCGCTCTTCTCGGATCTTCAACGTGAAGAAGAGGCGACTATGAGCAGCATGCAGATAGTCATAATACAGTCATATAAATCTAGTCAAAGTGAGAAACATCGAGAGATGTTACGAGAGGAAGGCCAGACATTAGCACGAAGGTAAGAATATACAATCATTAGGATAAATTCTATTTAAATACTTCTTTTAAAATAAATATTTTATCAGAAATGTATGAAAACTGCTACCGGCGTTGTGGATTGAATAACCTTATCTGCAAGTAATACATATACCGCTTTTGAATTGCATATTGTGGAGTTATTCCCCAGGTTACGTTCAAATTTATGACTTGGGTCTTGATGGAATTTTGAAAGCATTATACACAGGTTACTTTTTGGTCATATTGTTTACATTTTTACCTTAAAATTTAAGTTTGTGAACGTGATATAGGACAATGGAAGTACTTTAGATGTTGTTGAATTGTTAAATTCTGCGTTTGTCGATCAGAAATTACAGAGTTGCAATTAATATGCAACCATATAGAAAGAGCATTAAATTATTTGTGTCATATATTTTTCTAGGCTACATGGTGAGTTTGTTGACATTCCTGAAGAGGAGATGGAAGGGGAGAAGAGTTTTAGTATAAAGCAGGTACATCAAGCTATACAGTCTGTGATACAACAAGGTAGAAATAGTCTAGGTGGTTGGTTATTAAGTGATCAAATAGAACCAGATATCAGGTACGATATCATATTGTTATAGTTGATAAAATAATATAATGTATTTTCTTTTCTCCTACTGTAAAAGCCTTGATGCAGCATTTGCATTTTAGCTAAAATTAAAAAAAAATCACAGCTTAAAATGTACTCAGATTGATTGTTTAACATTTAATAAAGAAATCAAAATACCAATGCTAGATAATTTCCCGGCTTGGATTCAAATGGATTTAAACTAGGACCATCCAATACTTATATGGTGCCGTCTTGTTACATTTGTTTAAACTACAAATCACCCCAGAAATGTCATCAAAATTATTCAGATAGGCCTACTACGTTTCTTACTAATACCGGTAAACATATGAGAGAGTATACACAGCAATGAGCAGACCTTAGAATATTTATAACAATAATTTTGAAATAGTGTGACTGAAATAAAGCTTTCCTTGACTGAAATAAAGCTTTCAATAATATTTTAAATTCAACAGACTTTACTTCAATCACACTTTTCCGGAATTGTAATCTATGGGTATTCATACACTGCTAATCAAAATGGGACATTGCTAACCAGTTTGCCTGAATTTATCTAACTTCATTAGCAGTTCTGCTAATCATATTGGAAAAGTTATCAAGACCCCTGATCAACCTTACTGTTGGCTTGTTTCAATATTAACCTGGTTTTATTATCTCCCTTTACAGTTTGTTTCTCTGCAGCTCTCAAATTTTTATGCTATATTAATTAGATTGAGGATGAACCTTATGTGTTACAGATCTAGCTGACTAACTGGTGTACCTTTTCTTTCTTATAATTGTAGTATTTGATTTTTCTTTGTAGAATTGCCATGTGTATGATGTGTGGAGACCCGTTACCAGTAGAAATACCTCTAGGTCCCTTGTTATATAATGAGAACTGTCAGGTATCACGTAATAGTCCCAATACTATCAACATAGATTCATTTCTAGACTGTGGTAAACAGAAGATTGAAATCGAGATCTCTCCTAATCATGGTGGTGGTAGTTTACAGCAGGGTATATTCCATGGTTATATACTGGTTTATTCTGCTAAACGTAGAGCATCATTATCAACACTTCAGTAAGTACCTCTGCTTTGATAATAAATTACTATTCCCAGACTAACTTTATTTTCTACACTGGGAACTCATTATAAACTGAGTTTCAGTTTCAACATGGCTCCTAACAGCATTATAGTGAAGCCCTTAAGTGTATTTGAAAACTTTGTTTAATATTTTGTAAAAGTCATTATTGCACGAATTTTAAAAACATTGTTTTTCTCTCATACTTGATTTACAAAGTTTATTTAATTATTCTTATAATATGAAATTCTTAAGATGATTTGTGTTTTGATGAAAAAGACAAGGAGCATGGCATTTGTGAAAGAGTAGACCCATTTCATTGTCAATGCAGCTTGCTTTGTTTTAAGAAAACAAATTTTGTTATGTACTGCACGTTACAAAGTAACAGTCTCTTCTTTCCTGCTCCAAGCTTAATTTGATGCTAAAAATATGGTTGAATTTGTTTGTATTTTAGAGCTCTAGGTAAACGATTACCACCTGTACCTAAACTGATTGTTTGTGTAGCTGATAGTGGTGGAGCAGCATCTTTCTTTACTAGTGATATATCTCAGACATTAATAAAAGAAGGCAATGCACTAGCTGATGATATCTTATATGCCCATTTTATGACTACAACAGCTAATTTCCAACAGCAAAGTAAGACTTTCAGAATGTCTTATTGTGTAGCTTAATGTTTTTTAATGTGTAAATTGTTCCAATGGCATTTGGCATTTAGCAATAGGGCTGGAAATACACAGGTCACAATTCTATGGAATAGAAATTAATGTTTATTACTGAGCAACGTCTTGACTAGGCTTCTCTGTCTTAGCAAATAATATCATTTTAAAAAATGATGGGACATAAACAACGATGAATTCTTAGTTAATGTGAACTATTGTTTTTGAGCCTTACTCAAAGAATCTAATGAAAAATAATATCGAACACTAATCAGCAGTGACAATAAATTGTACTCACTCTAGATACTTGTGATTGCATAATTTTCTGCACATCTGAGGATCGTCAGTTATTACTGTCTGATAAAAATTATACCAACATTTCATTCCACTTTATTTTCGGGTTGTTTGCTCCACTCCATCTTGGTCTAAAGGCATTTCTTTATAGTACAGGGTAAATTCAGTAATACACAGATTGTGACTGGTCGATTCAAAATTAAACTTGTGATCTGATACATAAATGATCATTTTGAATGAGTGATTAAATGAATGACAAGAATTGAGTACATTTTTTGTATGTTTTAGCTGCTGTGTACAATCCATTCTTTAAAGATGCATGGGATAGAAAGGAAGAATCTGAATCTCTATATACAGAACCAGTAGAAGAACCTAGTCCACCAGCATATGACGATAGAAGTAGTTATATGGACCGTAGACCACCAGCTAAACTACCAGTACCATTTGATATGTATCATACAACCAAAAGTAGTAGTAATAGGTTAGATAATATATTATCACCTAAGATGCATATTGTCTTTTTGAGATTAATCAGCTATATCTCCTAGGAAATATTGCTTCTGCTTATTATCCTGTGCCAAAATAAATTAAGGGCGATATTGAAATGGGCTTCACCTTTCCGTCCTATTTTGGTTTCTGGAGCATATCTTAGAAATTCTGATATCTTTGTGAAACTTTGTACACATGTCAACATATTATAAGCGTTGTGCTTTTTGATATTAGAAATATGTTGAAAATTTGACTTAGTCATCTTGTTTTTGATTGGTTAATAAGATTTTTCTTCTTTTCATCATTGAATGAAATTGAGTAATGAAAAAAATCTTATACTTGCCTTTTATGACATAATCAATTACATTGAAAACCTCAGATTTTTTTTTACGTTCGACTATTTTACACAGAAAAGATGACATTTTCTGTTTGATGATTTGCTGCAAATACAAAAATAATTCTGTATCATTATTCGAGGATTGGTTATGTAAGATTCTCCCTGCTAATAATTTCTTTTCGGGGGGTTGCCATCAAATAAATTTCTGTTTATCTAATTGCAAAACTGTTGGCAATGTAGAATTTTCTAGGCTTGTTAATAATGAAGTCAAAATCTGTAATAATGTTCATGAACATGTCTGTCTTCACTAGCCCAGTCGGTGCAGAAAACTTGTTTTGTCATTTTCTTAACAGAAATTATTCTGTATGTTTATGTTTTATCTCACATCTGCGTAATGTTATTTATTTTTATTTTTTTTCTTTCAGTCAAAGTACAGAAGATTCAGAACCCATCTATGATCAACCAATCCACCCAAATCCATATCATTCTGACAGTGATCGGGAACGGGCTTCTTCCACATCGCCACCCCCTCCTGAAGATATTTACAGTGAAGTGAGTGATGCAGTCCCAAACGGTGAACACCTAGTCAGACCTAGTTTTGTTAAGAGCAGGCGCACACAATTTGCTGGTGAGTAACTTAGCTCATTTATTTATTGGTCAGCTATTTGGGTCTTGAATATTTTTATACAAAATGATTATTTACAAATTTCTGCATACTAGTATTGAATATTTTTACAACTATTCATAAAAGGGATGTGCTTCCTTGATTAAGAATCTTACAAATATTTTTTTTATTGTTGCTGCAAATATGATCATTTGATCTTAAAGAGGCATTAACACTTTTTTTTAAACATTGTCATATTTAGAATAACCTAAGACTTAACCAAATTATCAAAAATCCACACGCTGACCCATTAAGGGTAAGGTATTGGGTATCTTTGGTTATTTTCAGTGATGGATTGGCCTACAATCTTTCTTGAACAAACCGAATAAAACTGTCAAATTAAAAATTATATTTTTACTGACTGGTAAAAACCTCCAAAGTGTTAATCCCTCTTTAAAAGAATATAAAATGCTTTTATACTTAAAGATACATTAGTTAAGAGGTAAATATGCCTATTGCAAGTCTTTCCATAGGCTTCAACTGTTATAGAAATTATTAATTAGACCTTTATTTGCATAATAAGCCCAAAATCAACTCTGTAGACCCTCGGATGGATGGATTTAAACAGTCGTCCATTTAATAATCAATCATTAAATGGCTGACCAAGCTAACGTTTACTGTTAATCACTGACGTCATTACAGGAGACTGATAATCAAGGGTACCGTAGGCATTGAAAATGTTACTTGATAATCAAGAATATGTGGGTGGAGTTATCGTCTATCAAAAAAACAACTGCAATTCTCGAAAAGAGACAGTTGATGCCTATTTCTAGTCCAAACTTCCAACAATTATTATTTCGTTCAGAATAAAGTAATATGACTGAAATTTTCAATATTTTCTTTTTATATCATTTATTTTTGAACTGTTATAACAAGAATGACAAACTCTTTATTAAAATCTTAACTAATGTATCTTTAACCTTCATTATAGTATAATTATTTCCTTTTATATATAAATTCTTCTTAAATATTAAGACAAAAGATGATGTTAGCCTGTACAATACTATATGCATGGGTGTTGAATTACAGAATACTATATTTATAGACCATCTTTAATCTAGTACTATAAGCATTAAACTATAGACCAGCTTATTATTTATAGAGTTAATTATTTATAGGAGGCTTTGTGCACGATATGAAATAGTTTCTTTCTGAAAACTGATTTTTAATGGCAAGAATTTGAAAAATTAGAGAATTATTTTGAACACTGGCTACACAATTTGATATTTACTATGAGTGTTTTGATACACAACCCTTGCGAAATAACGTATATCTCAAAGTATTTATGCTCAAATTATGAAACAGTGATGATTATATTATGTAAATGAAAACATCTTGAAATAGCCCTTGATCAGCATTTGAGGGACTTCTAATCCCTTGCAAACTGTAATGTTGTGAAACTTGAATATCTGAAAGGAATATCAGTAAAAAAATAGCTAAATTTAAGTACATTTTAGTTTGGATATGCCCTGAAAATAATGATATTGTCCAAAATATGCAAATGACAATCAATAGCTTTAAAATAATTATGATAAATCTGTAGATATCTTATGAGGGTGTCAGAGAAGAATAACCTGTATGAACTAGTAAATTTGATAAGATTATTTTTTATGAAAAGTAACTATATTTGAAGTGCGATCAGAAGCTTGGCCTATCTTGTATTGTGGGACAAAATATTGCAGTACATGATATATATCAATGTATCGTAACAGACCTTCACGCAAAGATTCTTTAATTTATCCAGTGCGTCAATAGGGTTCATAAGTAATGAGACCATATTATGTTTCATTGGGTTATTTTTAGAATTTTATTTCATTACGTCCATGTAACAATTGTAATTTGTGTAATATTTTTTTTCTTTGCCCCACATCAATAAAGCAGCATATACTAAGGATCACCGTAAGTCTTTGCCTATTCTGGAAAGCTGTGAGACAAAACTTCGTTTATGTGAAAGTAGGGGACCATCTGATAATGAGACTAACACATTCACATTTACGCAATTACGCAAATCCAGTAGTATGAAATTGGACGTGGCGGAAGAAGAAGGTGAATTGACTGTCCATTTATTAAAAGTCGTAACTTTCTCTCTAATTAGTTGTCAGGGTGTCCCACACAGCCAAATTTAAGCTATAATAAAAGTTTTTCTGATGTTAACAGCCTGTCGATTATCCGGAAAATCGTCAGAAGGATTATTGAGCATGACTAATTTCTAACCATGAGCACACAACTCCAATGACATTGAAAAATTTAAAAACAAATGTGGTACACAACAAAAGTAGTGTATTTTAACAGCCATTCGTATGGATATATATTATAAAATACAGGATGAAGGGAAATCTTATGATTACTGAGATGGGATCAGGTGCTACTACTATCGATAATTTTTGAGGTATTTTTTTCAATGTGGGGCACCCTATAGTTGTCTATGGGGCTGACATCTCTTACATGTCCTGTTTGCTTTTCATATTTAATATCTTCTGATATTTGATATAATTATTTTAATGATATAATCGTTTAATGAGATGTTTTAGTGGACCCTAGTGTTTATGTTGTAAAGTATCATTCTATATCTATCTCTTATCTATCACACTATACCCTCAACTCAGTTGGTATTATTATTAAAACTATAAACCTGTACAAAAAAAATTGATAGTAGCAGGATTCATCATCAAAGCGTGATTGATCAAAATAGATTGTAATTTTGCAATAAAAGTTAACTTGTGTTAAAATGGTTAATGATTAATTTAGGATAAAGGCAGGTCATCTGATACATACTGTCGCTGTAAGGATTTCTGTAGGATGCCCTGTGGTCAGCGTGTATTTACACCTTAGATGGTTTTTTTTTTAAAATTCAAATTAGAAAGCGATAATTAATGACAGGATTCTATGACCACTTTGTATTATGGCCTATAAATGAACTCAATCTATTACCCAATCAGACTTGATCTAATTATCAAAATTTGTACCTGTCAACAAGAACAGGAATTTGGAAGTTGTTAGATTACCACTTGTGTTCTATCTCTGCCCTTTGTTGACTGTTGTTGTCTAAATGGGTACTAGATAGTTGAAATTCACTTCTATAATCTATTCAATTTTGGGGGGTTGGATGGCTGAATGGTTAGCGTGCGTGCGCTGTATCATTAAGTCTGTCATTGAGTCGACTGGCGTGGTTTCAAATCCCCGGTTGTACGTGGCAAGGAGTAGGGTCGCCTGTCCAACCTCGTGGGTTTTCTCCGGGACCTCCGGTACCCCATTTCTCTCTCTCTCTCTCTATACAATTTTGCCTATTCAAGGACTTGGCACTGTACTTGTTGTTTCTGGTGAATTAAAATCTGTTACAAAATAGATAATGTCCGTGAAAAATAAGTGAACAGAAGGATTGTTTTCTTCTTTCAATCAAATTTTAAACAAAGAAATAAATGGTACTTAAATATTGTGATCATATTAATGAAGAAATCTGTCATTTGTAGTTGTTGTGTTCTGACATCTACCTACTCCCATTTCTCCTTATTTAAATCATATCTTTTTTTCACTGTGTTATATTCTGGACATCAGTGATCAAACTGGGTATGAATTCAATTACCAGTAACCAGTTACGGTTAAGCTTGAAAATCATTACATCTGGAGAAATGTTTTTCTTCATTAATGGTATATTTGTCATAGCTCGTGAAGGCTCCAAACTTAACTTGTTTGCTACCTGAAACTGTAAACAGTTGTCTGATATTGTATGGTGGGCACAACTTAAACCAGATATTGAACATTATATAAAATTATTCAGTCATGTATAAGGTAATCACAACATCTGACAAATGTACCATAAGATATTAACGTGATGAATTGAATTCTGACCCAGATCTTTTTGTTTTCGTAAATCAAGAATTTTGTTTGACTATGTGTGTTATTAGTTATATCGTTATTGTTTGTCCTATTTCATTGTTGTCAATTTTATAATTTTTTGCTTTTTAAATTTTTCTCTCAAATGGGATTGAGATACTGGTAAATTCATTTTGTCTTTAGAAATCATCAGCCTGTTTACTATATTGTTGAAAATAAAGAGTGTGACATTTATAATTTTTTCGATGTAGAGCTAGTCTTTACAAATTATAGAATATTTGCTGTGTTTTATTATTCATATGATATAAATTTTACCCTAAAGCTTGGGCGCTAAATGAACCTACCAAAGGATCAAGAAGTGTGTTATCGGCTTGCAAGCAAACTTCCAGCAGTGAAGAGGGTGACCTATTATTTTACGGCATGTTATGTTTCAATGTAGTTAGCATGTTGATTCAACACCAGTCTTCCTTGAGTTCTCTCCCCTTTTTTTTTTAGTTTGTTTACTTTTCTGTATGTATATTTAGCATGGAATTTTGGATTAAAGCTTGACATTTGTTTTATATATCAAATTAACGTAGCATTTATTACTGTAAAAAGTGTATTATTTCTTATATCCTGAAATGGTTCAATCATTATTTCTTATACAACTTATAGCTCTATTGTATTCATTGTTTTCGTTTCTAGTTCACCTTCTTTAAGTTTTATTGCTATTTGTACAACTAAACATGTGAATGTACTTCTTTCTTGTGACTTCATCATTGGTCCTTCACCACCACTCCTTTTTTTTAGTTTTAATAAATCCACATTTTACTGTGGTTGCAGTGATTGTTGTAATCCTGTTGGTCCGTCCGTCCGTCCGTCCATCCACAATTAAGTGAAACTCAAAATCAAAGTTTGTTTAGCTTTGTGTAAGGAAGATGGTTACTAATTGATTTTCAGAGAATTTAGTCAGTAATTCTACAAGCTATGGTCCATTTTAATGATGGTACATATAGGTATTAGCTATTAATTCTCATCAATATTAAAGACTTTATTATGTTGCTCTTTTCATGGTAATTTTGCTTTATAATGTTATTGCGGGTAGACAGCAAAGCTGCAGGTATGTGTATTTTCTGTTGCCTGGCAACCCATGTTTAACACTGCTCACATGTTTATCATCCTCACAATTACCTTTTGATTTTATCAACACATCCCGTATTTAAGAATAATAGTACTTGTTAATAAAATCTATCAAACAAATTCTGTGTTTTTGACAAATCAGGCAGAAAATACTCAATACAGTTGGTAGCAATTCATAAATCTATCAGTTTCAGTTTTCAACCCTTAAAGGACAATATTGGTGTCAGTCATTATCACATATGTGATAGAACTAGTTAAACACAATCCAAATATTGCTATGATATATTGTCCTTTAATAGAGAAGACCATTTTTAAGTTTTTTTCTATGTTGGTGTCAGTCATTATCACGTATGTGATAGAACTAGTTAAACAAGTTCCAAATATTGCTATGATATATTGTCCTTTAATACAATAAGTTTAGCTAGCCATCTTAATTTTGAATTTTCTTCCTTTCATTAATTTGTTTTTGATGTTGTCCACTTAAAGGTACACTTGCTGGAAATCATATAGTTTTAGTTTTATTTTATAGTAATTTATACAGATAATTTTTTAAATTATGACATTGGAACAGCAATAATTTATAAGTTAACATGTAATAATTTAAAAAAATATTTTACTACTTTATGAGACAGGAGTATGTTTATTCATATACGTTATATGGATGCAAAGTTTACACTGCTAAACCTCTATGAGTTGGATTAGAATAAAATATTGGAGTGGTTCCATGCATTATTTCAATTATTGATGGGCCATGCGTTCTACAAGTATACTTTTATTTTGAAAGATTCAGCAGATAATGCAAGTTTACCTTTAATTTTCTTTTCAGTTTGTATTAATTGGGTATTGATTAATTCTCTTTACTTAAAATTGAAGTCAATTATAAATATTATTAGACAAATACTTATGTACATTAATTTTTGTACTACATAAAACTTGGGTAAAACATACCTTCTTCACTAATTTTGAATATTTGGTGGGCAGTCAATGTTGATTTTATGTGATTTTATATTTAGATTGTCCCCCATTGAGGTTGTAAGAATCATCATTAATGTAAATCATTGTGTGAATTGTTATTGTAACTCATTGTAAGAATCATTATATTGTAAAGGATTATGAGAATCATTATTATAAATCATTATAAAACATGAATTTAATTGAGGTTGTAAGAATCATCATTAATGTAAATCATTGTGTGAATTGTTATTGTAACTCATTGTAAGAATCATTATATTGTAAAGGATTATGAGAATCATTATTATAAATCATTATAAAACATGAATTTAATTTATACTCTTAAATTTTCAGCATTGGGTGAAGCATCAATGTATGAATCATCAAGTCAAGATATTATTTGGGCTGACAATGAATTGTATGATAGAGCTCAACTTTATTCTCCTTCACACCGATTGACAGATGGATGGGACAACCCATCATTTTCTTCCTCCTTAGAGCGTAAGAGAAGTAACATGCAAAAACGGTCACAGGTATTTCTATTAAACACAATATCAAAGATGCATTATGTAAGAATTAGATAAAGAGGTGTTCGTTTTTGCTATAATAGTTGAAAAATAGATCATTAAAAATTAATATATTGAAAATTTGAGTCAATTTATTTTATCCTGTGCAAAGTTGAGGTCTTTGAAGTTTTGGCAAAATGTAGCGTAGATTGTTTATTATTGTAGCAATGGTATAATAATATCTATTTGAACTTTTAAATTGCGGCCAATAGTCCAGAGAGTTGATTATGGGCTTGTCATGTTAATAAATGTTTCTATAATGATTTATATTTGAAGCCTGAAAAAAGACCTTCAGATTTTAGTTTACATAATGTATCTTTTTAAACATATTTTTGGTTGTACTAGGATGAATAAAACAAACTATATTTTGATTAAATAACAAAGCGCTTACCCAAGATATGTGAATAAAAGGAAATATTATTATTGTTCATTTATGTTAAAGGTAAAACCAACTATTATATTTCGGCTTATTTTTAAAAAATAACTGATAAATTTAAATCTATATAAAAGAATAACTTTTGACGTGTATGGCCAGGATTCAAGCATTACAATGCTACCGATCTCAATATTAATATGATTAGTCATAAGATGCACTTGTCCTTTCAATTTGAAATATTTTAAGGAAATGATTACTGAAATTTTGACCAGGAAATATTAAATCGTTTTTCAATCCGTTATTTCAGTCTGGCGTTCACATAATAGTTTAGTAAAGATATGGTAACTTTAAACATAGAAACTGGTTAATTATGGAAATATAGTAACTTTTAACATAGAACATTTGAGATGTATAGTATTTAGCCGTCATGTAAATGGCCCTCAAGACAAGATTTGTTTATGATCTCATGTAAAGTGACTAATTGTGTTTTTTGGGGTTAATTTTAGTCACATAGTTCAGGTATGGTAGGTAATCATCAGTCTAAACAGCGTGGTACTAAAGTTACAGCACCGTTAGCCATGCCAGAACCAATAGAAATTGCTGATTATGGAACAGTGAAGGTATTCTATAAGATCTCATAGTATACATTTCTATATACAGTAAAAATTAATTTAATGTGAGCAAGAAATTAATGCTTTAAATTTGACCTATCACATGTTTTTTGATTAGAAATTTCTCTTCTCTCTACCCAAATTAAAATACAGGTGGTTATAATAAATCAGTGGCATGTCACATTTATAACTCATCCAAACAACAGAATATTTAACAGTTAATAATTAGATGATAGATAAAATAATTAATTAAATGTAAAAAAAAAGAAGTCATTCATTTTTATACGCCCACATTGAAATGTGGTCGTGTATTGTCGTCGCCCCCGTCCGTCCGTCCGTCCGTCCGGCGTCCACAATTGCTTGTGGACGCTCTAGAGGCTAAAGTTAATATCCGATTGACTTTAAATTTATATACAGTGTTTAAGGCCATGAGACGAACAAGCCTATTGATTTTCAGCGATTTCCAATAATTACTGCCAGAGTTATGGCCCTTGATCACTTCAAAAAATCTTGTGGACGCTCTAGAGGCCAAAGTTAATATCCGATTGACTTTAAATTTATACACAGTGTTTAAGGTCATGAGACGAAGAATCCTAGTGATTTTCAGCAATTTACGATAATTACTGCCAGAGTTATGGCCCTTGATCACTTCAAAAAATCTTGTGGACGCTCTAGAGTCTAAAGTTAATATCCGATTGACTTTAAATTTATACACAGTGTTTAAGGTCATGAGACGAAGAAGTCTATTCATTTTCAGTGATTTTCGATAATTACTGCCAGAGTTATGGCCCTTGATCACTTCAAAAAACCTTGTGGATGCTCTAAAGGCTAAAGTTAATCTCATTGACTTTAAATTTATACACAGTGTTTGAGGTCACGAGGCGAAGAATCTTATTGATTTTCAAAGATTTCTGATAATTACTGCCAAAGTTATGACCCTTGATCACTTTGAAAAATCTTGTGGACGCCCTAGAGGGCAAAGTTAATATCTGATTGACTTCAGATTGATACACAGAGTTTAAGATCTTGAGGCGAACAAGTATATTGATTTTCAATGAATTTTTATGACTTGGAACAGCTAAATCCATGATAGAGTATTAAAAGTTTTGTATACAAAACGTTAGCAAGCATGGGGCAGAACTTTATAAAAACCAAACAAATTCTAATGGTTTTCTGAGTTGTTGCTCTTAATCAGATTTTAATGTATTATAAATGTTTCATTACCGAAAAAAGTAAAAATATGCGACAAGGCTGACCTTAAAAATATCTTTGTTTCACCAAACCCGACCCACAATCGAGGAGAAGGGTCGGTAGGTCGGGTTTTTTTTAAGATTTTTTTTTTTAAGAGCTAATTTGACAGCTTGATAATTTTCCGGGTGCAAACATTCGTCTTCTTTTATTGGCAAACAAATCAATGACATCGGGATTTTTCTTGATGCAAGACTCGCACACAAATTGCGACAAACTCACGTTTGAAACTCCCTCAACACGTTTTTAACGATCGTGCGGGTTGTGCCTTTATTTTTCTCGAAAACGGATATTGAAAATATCGTCGTCATGTTTAAAACGACGCCCCACAGACATAGAGGCAGAATCATTTCGTGGGAATGGACGTGCTTTCGTCTGCAACCATTTTGTTGAGAAGCGACACCTATGACGCTTTCGTCTTGATCAACCAGTTTCAATAATGAATCAAACCATAGCCATGGTAAAGGGAAATAACTCTCGTGATATATTTCAGGTTGACACACAAAATAAAATAAAAAGATCGCGGAAAAGTGCAATAAAATAATTTAAGTCGGGGGTGGTTTTAGTTAGTCGGTCGCGTTAGGCGAAACAAAGATATTTTTAAGGTCAGCCCAACTCTTGTTGACTGCCCGGACGATTTAGCTGCTGTGGGCGTATGTTTTGTTGCCTGGCAACCTATCTTTATAGTGTCTGATAGTTATTAAGCACATTTATGTCAATACTGTTAAGACTGTATTAATTTCATGACACATTAAAGTTGAATCGAAGAGTGACCACTATACATGTATTTATAAATGATATACAAATCTGTTTTTAGGATGCAGTCAGTCAGTTTTCAGAGAATGATTATGCTTCTGTGGAAGATGCTTTGCCACCAGGGAAATTACAGCGCATCAAGTCGTCAGTTCGAAAGAAAGAGAAACGTAAGATATTGTTTTGAATAATTTTAAAGTCAGATTTGAATAGAATGGATGTATATATATTTAAAGTAATAAATATAATTCTTGTTTATATCTATTAGTCCTCAAATTTCCAAAAGCAGTCTAAATAAAACTGGATCATGCATACTTTTGTTTCTTAGGTATGCTTTTTTACATTTAGGAGCCACGGTGGCTCAGTGAATAGGACGTTGGCTCGCTAACCTGGGTGTCCTGTGTTCGATCCCTGTGTCGGCCGAGAAAGTTCATCAGGATTTTCCGGCATGGTTTCCCCTTGTCAGTGATGTAGAACGGAGGACCTGGCAAGGGACAACGTATAGTCGTTCAGACAGGACAAAAAAATGGGCGTGTATGTAAAAGAACCCTTGACAGTTGGAATTTGAAATCAATAGTAGGCATATGCCCATCTTCATTAACCCAGTCGGATCAGAACTGTAGGATGTTAAACCCCATTTCATTTCTTTACATTTACACTAACAACATCTGTAAGAAGATTCTATTCAGTTGACCTGGATCTCTCAATTAGCCGATGAAGAGTTGTGTTAAATTGGACAAAAAAGATTTTAACCAATCACATAGAACAGCAAATTTATTAGGAAGTAGTTAGATCTTCATATACAGGCCATGAAATTTCAAAGTTTGGCATAACCAGAAAAATGGTTACGGGTTTATGCTCTGTATAATCATTTTCTTTGGTTACGCCAGATGACCATTGACGACATACATACGGGTCATTGCTAGCACCGTACAGCATTGCTATAGTGAATGGAACACGGGTAGTAAATTTTTTGGAAATATAGCTGACATGTTAAATAGTCAAACTCTTTTTGTATTTGAAAATCCAAAAGTATGCTTTCAGATATTTATGGCATAACTAATCATTTAAAGAATTAGATATGGGGTGCATTTTTAAATCAATGTGATCTGTCAAAGTACCGGTAACATGGAGAAATGAAATGCCAAGAATGAATGAAATTTGTGCTTAGGGTTAATTTAAAAGCTATAATACTAATAATTTAGACCTATGTCACAAAGTCTCCCTGTATGAACATTTATCAAATGTGAATAAATTTGTAAACATAACCGATATTTCAATTTGCGTAACCAGGAAATAGGTCGCATGTTTTTGAGCTGACGCGACCACACGTAACCGATTGGTATCGTTCACGTGAAATTTCGTGGCCTGATATACATGTAGCATAGGTCAACCCGAAATTTAGACTGGAATCAAATAAAGATCTAATTTTAATTAGATGGTTCAAAAATGTCGCAAAATACACCGACCAATTTTAGCGATAAAAATGAAATCTTTGATTTCAGGTAACACAGATTCTGAGGACTCTGAATTCAGTTCTTTAGAGCGGGAAGCTAGACCAGACAGACGGCCTAAAGTGTATAAAAAGCCAGCCAAGAAAGTTCATGGAACCTCGTTCTTTATGTCTAAATCTATGACAGATGATTATCAACAGAGACTGGGTATATCAGGTGAAGCAACAAATAGAGGTATTTTATCTCAAATATAACATGTTACATGTAGATCAATCTAGGAATTGATATAGTTTTATCTAAACACAGGAAATTTATAGAACAAGTTCTTAAAAGGGTGGTTTTGGCTATCTTTTAGTGAATATTAATGGGTAAGTCTGTATGAAGGCACTTAAGCCTCTCCTTGTTCTGTATGTACATCTATATGAAACTCATATTTTGGTGTGGGTTTGATCCCAAACTTTTATGTGACAAGGAGTAGGGTCGCATGCAAAATCTGTGGGTTTTCTCCAGGTCCTCCAGTTTTCTTCGATTGCTAAAGACCCCTAGGTACAAGCCACTTAGTGAAATGAATTGTACCTTATGGGATATGTTGGTGAACTGGTTTGTATCACATAGACATCAAACCCCATTTCTCTATCCAAAAACACCTAAATATCAATTTACGCTTTGACATTAAAGTCCATAAGGTTCTGGCCCATGTTTCACAAAACATTCTCAGACTTAAGCTAAGAATTTACTCAAGTTTCAATCACTATTTACGAGAAATATCTTTGATCCAGAAACACAAAAATTTGCACATAGTTTTTTATTGATGTATTTGATGCATCAGAACAAAAGTTTTATAAAGGGCTATATTTTAGATAAAATAAGCCAAACAATTTTGAGTAAATTCTTAACTTAAGTCAGAGAATGTTTTGTGTAATCAGGGCTAGCTGGTCAATGCTGATTTATTTGAGATAATTTAGAGCATTGGTCGAGATTAAAATCCCATAGAGTGTTTTTTTTACTGTTGTTTTTTTTTTAGTGAGAAGTAATTCACCATCTGAAGGTAGTGAAGGTACTGGGGATGAATTAGCAACAACCAAAAAACCTGTAAAACGAAAATCTTTTAAACATAAAGGTCGCTATACATCTTTTGGTGTACCTAAAATATTCAGTCCACCAGACCTTGATTACCAGATAGGTTCACCTCCACGTAAGTTTGGAAATTTTTAAAGAAACAGTCCATGGACAGTTGGGGGTTAAGTGGCTGAATTGTCTAATGTGAGCACTTTAGATCATAAGGTCGGTCAATAAATCAAGTAGTCTGGTTTGGGTTCCCCGCTTGTACGAGACAAGGAGTAGGGTTGCCTGTCCAGCCTCATGTGTTTTCTCCGGGTCCTCTGATTCCCTCCCATTGCCAAATATTGAAATAAATTTGAACCATGTTAGACCTAATATGACCTAGTTTGTGTAGTTGATGTTAAATCCCATCTCTCTCTCTCTCTCTCTCTCTCTCTCTCTGTCTCTCATTAAAATTGTATTGTGCCAGAAGGCCTGTATTCATATTCTTTATTCTATAACTACATGCAAATACAAGTAAATATTGAATACAGCCATTAAATACATCCATTGAATAACCTATGGTTGTATTCAATGGCTTGTACACCTACTACTTTTGTCCAGAATGACCGTCACTTTCAGAATTACATCAAACTGTAATGATGTCAACACATATGTTATATTTTTTTACTTTTATGTATTCATATTTGATATATGTTCCAGGTGACAATGAAAATTTATTTAATATTGGTAATCCACCCATAGGATACAGCACACTACCTCGAGCAGCACATGTAAGTCTCTATATTATTAATTAAGCAATACATTACTAACTGGCATCGACACAAACTCTTGTTGAGCTATTGTTTATAAATTAAAGGGTGGGGGTGGGTGGATGGTGGAATGGTTAGCACGCGCGCGCTATATCATATGGTCTGTCATTGAGTCAACTGCTAAAGACCCCTACGCGCAAGCGCATTATTGAAATAAAATTGAACCATATGTTAGTCCTGAAATGACCTAGTTTGTGTCGAGTGGACGTTAAACCCAAGTTATCTATCTCTCTTATAAATTAAATGATAGCGTGCTTTGATACACAGGGATTGAAAACAACCATCAAACATCTGTTTGTAAATTTTGTATTGCAATATGTATTAAGGGGGATCTGTATTGCAATATGTATAGTGTAAACTTATCCATTGAAATCTGATAATATATAGTGTAAAATTATCCATTGAAATATATTGTGTAATATTAACCTATTAAATGAGGAAAATAAATAGTGTTAAAATGCATTGAAGTAAGGTTGATGCCAAAATGGGAAAGGTGTTAAAACATGGCAACTTGTTTGAAGATTAAATATTGATATTCTTATTATAACTATGATGTAATTGTTATAACAGGGTGGTACAGCATCAACAGATGATGGAGACTATGATCTCAATGACAGCGGCCATTGGAGGAGTTTACTCAAAGGTAAAACATATCGAGATCCTGAAAAACAGAGAAGAAAAGAGGAAAAGAAGTTAAAAGATGATGAAAGGAAAAAGCAAAAAGAAGAGGTAAAAAGATTTTTTTTTCTTTGAGGTCTATCTTTCAGGGGAAAAGAATTGTGCAAGGAGAACTATCCTTTGTGGTAATTGTTGTCCTTTCTGGCAATTTTGGTGGCAGTTGTCTTTATAATTGAGTTTAATGGCTTTAGCCCAACTCCTGTGAGCCTCTGTATTTTATTACCTTAGTTTTGGACAGTGACACATCATTTCAGGAATTGTCATCAAGACATAATTGGGCGACAGAAGATGGAAATATCCCAAGATATTTTATGACATTGTCCACATTGTACTCATTGGAAAGTTTTTTTTTTCGTGACACTATTTATTCAGTAAATACTTACATATACAATATATAATTATGAGATCTGAAAACAAGCCACAGCTTATATAAATTCATCTCCCGTAAGAAATCATTTACATAAACATGAATACATTGTTTAAAAATTATAGTCATAAACTAGACACTGGCGTACGTTACCGGTAGAAAGAAAGAAGGTTTCTTGGTGGAAAGTTTCATTCAACCCTGATAAAACCAATATTATCACTTTCTCCAGAAAACAAAACCCTTCATCCTTCCAATTATTGTTCAACAATACTGCTCTTATAGAAGTCTCTTCTCGTAAACATTCAGGTGTATATCTTCAGAAAAACCTGAAACTGGACAGACCATGTAAATTTTTCAACATCCAATATTAACATTATGAGATCACGTGAGATTGCATCTTGCCAGCGAGAGTCAGTGCATGCTTGCCAGTCACAAGTGAAGGACGTATTTCGAAGCTCTCTGCTTTTTTGATCATTGTGTCTTTTAAAAAATTTTAGTATTTGTAACTTTTCTGTTATGTAGTAACAACCGAAATTTTATTGAACATTATATCCAAAATCTCTAAATTACTTGACCATTTTCGAAGTTTCAAGTGAAGACTCTCCAGAAAGTCACTCGAACGAAGTAATAAACAAGTCTTTCATCAGGCCCTTGTTTGACTATGCAGCTAGATGTCTTATGGGACAATTGCACAGGCCAAGAGACTTTTGAACTTGAAAAACTTCAGCTTGATGACTTAAGAACTATAACTGGTCTTGTCTTATATAAAAAGTCTGAGTTAATCCCATTGAAAGAAAGACCACACAGACACAAACTACTCTTACTCTATATAATATACAAAAACGAACTCCGAACTATCTCTCATTACGCGTTCCACCTATAATGGCAGCCTTAAATCTCCACTCAACATGAAACCAATTGAAATACTGAAAGATATTTGAATCAATAACAACACATAAACTGTCTTTTCTCTCCTCCACTATTTCTTCATGGAATAATTTACAGATGATTTTAAACAAAGTCCATCTTTGCAATAATTCAAATACCAGTTACGCAAAAATGATCAAATAATCCCAAACCAAAGGGCCAGAAATATACAAATAAATCACACCAGACTAAGGAGCCCAAAATTTCATAATGAATATTTCCATCAACCCATCATATACATGATGTCACATTATGGAGGACAGCGAGCATTACTTATTATACTGCTCTAATTTTAATATAACAAAGCAAGAAGCAGTCTTTTACTATTACAATATACTCAAAGGGAGATTTGATTGCTGCTATATGTAAATAACCTCTTGTCTCTTTAAACAAACATGGAAATCTTTACTAAAACAATCTAATAGATCTAAATAAAAGTAATGCCTGACTTGCTTACTGTCTCTTGATTAATGCTACTTTTCGTGAATATTTGGTTTTACTCACTGTCTTGATTGATGGTACTATTTATCGTGTATTTTTAATGTCTTGATTATTATTATTGACTAGATGCTTATTGTTTCTTGATTGATGATACTTGTCATCTACTTACAGTTTTTATACGCCCACATTGGAATGTGGTTGTATATTGTCATTGCCTCCGGCCGTTCACAATTGCTTGTGGACACTCTAGAGGCTAAAGTTAATATCCAATTGACTTTAAATTTATACACAGTGTTTAAGGTCATGAAACAAAGAAGCCTATTGATTGTCGGCGATTTCTGATAATTACTACCAGAGTGATGGCCCTTGATCACTTTGAAAAATCTTGTGGAAGCTCTAGAGGCTAAAGTTAATATCTGATTGACTTAAGGGTCATGAGACGAAGAAGCCTATTGATTTTCAGCAATTTCTGATAATTACTGCCAGAGTTATGGCCCTTGATCACTTTGACGCTCTAGAGGCTAATGTTAATACCCGATTGACTTGAAGAGGTCTATTGATTTTCAACTGATTATAAAATGTTAATAGTGTCGTGTTTGAAAGGGATTCATATCCCTCCAATGATAATCAGAGACTATAAACCTGTTATATTTATTCTTTTGTATAAAGTTATAATAATAACATTAAACTTTAATTTTAGACAAACTCTTTGTTACTGTGTTTATGGCTTTTTAATGGGTGTTCAATAGATTTTATTATGAAATCTATGACAATAATAAGAGCTTTTGTTATGTAATCTTATCTGCTTAACAGCAGGTTTAGAAATGTAATAATACCTTACCTGGACATAGCTGAATATTGATCATTTGTTTACCGGTTGCTATTGACTACAATATTGACTTTCTGTCATTAATCTAAGGTGGTTGTAGTGTGTAATAAGTTTAGGACTCAAAGAAGGACCATAATATAAATACACTTCAATGAATAATCTACTGACAAAAGAGATCTGGGAATTAACAAAACTCCAATAATGTCTGGATTTGTGCTTTATAGAACATGAACTTATTACAACATGAGTGTGTGCAATTGGAAGATTTGGCCAGAACTTTATCTGATATGTGGGATTAAGATTAAAAGATTGAATAACTGTGAGAAAATGTGTTTGTTAAATAAGGAAGTTAATTCAACATATGACATATGTTATATTAGACGCTGTCTATAGACACAGTAGCAAGTTTTTAAACAATGGGTATGACCCCATCAATTTGTTATTCTGTACAAGTCCATCCCTTTGAACAACAAATAAATTCAGAAGATGATCTCCAGGTAGATTTTTATACACCCACATGGAAATGTCCAAAATCTGATTATTTTGAAATTGATATATGATGTTTACATTAGGGAGATGAAGAAACCTATTGAATTTCAATAATATCCATTAAAGAGGCATTATCAAAGATTAGAAAAAAAGCTGGCAGTTCTCACTATAATAGTTAAAAACCTTGTGAACACTCGAATAACAAAAATTATATGATCTGTATGAAATTTATATGCATCCTTTAATTTAGTGAAACGAAGCAGCCAACTGAATTTCAACAATTTCTGCTTATTACTTATAGAGTTATGGCCCTTGTTTCACTTTGTAGAAAACTTGTGGACGCTCGAACGACAAAAGTTAACATCCGATTTGTATAAAATTTGTATGCATTATTTAAATTAGTCAAACAAAAAAATCTGTTCGAATTCAACAATTTTTATATGCCCACATTTCCATGTGGATGTAAATTGTCGTTGCCCCTGTCCAGACGTCCGTCCGTCTGTCCGTCCACAATCTGTTTGTGGACACTCTACAGGTTAAAATTTTTATCTGATTTTGACGAAACTTGAAATATAGACCTATCTCCCAAAGATCTCAGTTCCTTTCGATATTTGCATGTATTGGACCATAACTTCATGGCCCCTGATTGTATGAAAAATCCAGTTTCTAGCTTTTGGACACTCTAGAGGTCACAATTTCCATCTGATTTTGATGGAACTTGAAATGCATGTTTATAACCTAAAGATCTTGGTTCCTTTGGACATTCACACATATCGGACCGTAACTTCCTGAATTATAGCCCCTGATTGTATGTAAAATCGTGTTTTTAGCTTGTGGACCCACTACAGGTCATAATTTTTATCAAATTTTAAAATATGTTTAAATTTATCACCGTTACACCCTAGGGGCCGTTGTGTTCTAATTTCGTGAAAATCAGACCAAAACTGCCTGACAAAATGGCAACTTCATGTACGCAAATAGTGTAAACGTTTGTCATATCAAGGTTGTGGACCCTCTAGAAGTCAAAATTGTTATCTGATTTTGATGAAACTTAAAATATATGTTTATGTCCCAAAGGTCTTGGTTCCTTTTGCTATTTGTGCATATCAGACCGTAACTTCCTGCATTTAGTTTGTGGATTCTTCAGCGGTCACAATTTTTTATCTGATTTTAAAAAACGTTTAAATATATCATTATTCGACCATAATAAAGGGGAAAATCGAAACAAACTGCCCAACAAAATGGCCGCTCTTTGTACGCAAAGTGTGTAAAAGTATGTAATACAAAGGTTGTGGACCCTCTAGAGGTCACAACTTTTATCGGATTTAGATGATTGGCCCCTGATTGTACGAAAAATTTCTTTTATTTTTAGCTTGTTCACTATCAATCTCTTGCGATTTGTGGGTGTATCTTGAATTTCAACTGCTGTTTGTTAATTACTTCCAGAGTTAAGGCCCTTGTTTCAGTTTGTAGAACCTTGTAAACCCACAGATGATGAAAATTAGAATGTGTTCTGTATGAAATTGTCTTGTAAATGCAGCCGACTACCTACAAATAAATAAATATGCGCCAACCCTGTGGGCATATGTTCCGTTGCATGGCAATCCATCTGTAAACTATTATTAAACGGCCGGCTCTTTTATCTAATCTTATATAATGCATCTTTAATTTAAAGATAGTTGAGAGAATATTAAAGATACGGTACATTCGCATGGAAGTATTTATTGGGTAGTTATTTCCAATAAATGTATGGAATATTTAATTTTGGTATATATGGAAAGTACTAGAAAAATGTCTAAAAACATACCCATAGGGCTCCCCCCCACAGGACAAAATGGTGAGAGTGTCACTAACTGGTAGCCTGTTTCCTCAAGTGACATAAGGAGCGCATCTTATATGAGGATCTAATGCACTGGTTCTCAACCCTTTTTTGCCAACGGAACACCTTGGAACACATGAAAAAATAGTAGCACACCTGGCTAAACATATGAAAACTATTTAAATTTTGCAAAATAAAAACATGTTAAGTTAGACGGCATACAACCGTAGACAGGGACTAGTCATAGACACATAGAATGACTCAAACCAAATAAAGAAAAACACAGCTATGAACAACCACTAGACACCAGTGAATACTCAATTGGGATCACATGGTTTTTCGCATTTTCTTAGTGTGCACACTTAGGAAGATCTCACGGCACACTGGTTGAAAATCACTGATGTAATGAGAGACTTAAACGTACAGTAGACATCTGAGATTAAACAGTAGAGAAAAGTTCGTAGAAGATAATCCAAAAATTTACTTAGGCTTCGATATTTATGGTAAATGGACAGCTTTTGTCATTCGGCACAAAATTTAAACAAAACATACAACTTAATTATATGAATATACTGGTACTATTTCAGGAAAAGAAACAGAAAGAACAGTTAAAGTTACAGAAAAAAATTAAGAAAAAAGATAGTAAAGGTTCTGGTCCTTCACAGAGTGGCTGTTATTTAGAAGATTTTCTTATGTCCCAAAATAATCCTTTAATACCTGTATTTATTGAACGATGTATACAGTTTATTGAAGAAGAAGGTATATACATCTATATCTTTAATAGATATAACTGTTAAAGGATACAATTCTATGGAATTCAATTCGGTTTATTACTGTGTGATATTTCAACAGAGTTTCTCTTGTCTTTATTGAGCTTTCCTAATCAAAACAGTGCCCCACTATAAACTAATTGTATTTCATAGCATTGTAAGAATGAAGTGATGGAATGGGGTTTAACGTCCTACTATTCTTTTCTGACTGGGCTAATCCATTTCAATAATTTGATTGCGCGTTGGGGTATTTAGCAGTGGGTGGAAACTGGAGGACCCTGAGAAAACCCATAAGATAGGTAGGTAAATCTACTCCTTGTCATGTATGAGCTTGGGATTGAACCAACGCCTCTTGACTTATGTTCTAAAGTGCACATGTTAAACCACTTGACCCCTTGCTAACATCAAATATAACCCTGCCTGAACCACAATACCTGTTACTGAGGCTGCTTATATTTATTTTTAGTTGGATATCAGAAGGTACTGGTATTCGTAATGTTTCTCTTCTTGTCTTGTTTGAAATTAACATTCTTTATATATTTGGTGATGAATGTCGCTTCAGGGCAATGTTTATATATCCATCTATATGCAATGACAAAATCCTCTGGTCTAACATATACTGATGTCCAAAAGAAAGTATACACACTAAAAGTATGACTAAGTTTTTTTTAGATTAAAAACATTTGATAAAGCATTACTGAGTTTGTCTCTTGCATCCAAACTCAACATTTCTAAGCAAAATAAAAATGTAATACAAATTGACATTCTACCCAAACACCGTATACCATGGAAAAACGACTTTGGTTGATGCAGCACAAAATGCAGAGTGTATACTTTCTTTTGGACATTAGTATAGTTTGAAAAATAAATCAAATGTTTCTGTTTTCAGGCCTCAAAGCTGAAGGTATCTACAGAATTCCAGGAAATAAACAACAAGTTGATCTCCTTATCACCAAATTTAATGAAAGTAGGTTTCTTTTTCGTTTTTTTCTTTTTTTCTTTATCACATCTTCTAGCGGTCACTTATTTCATTTTGTATGTTTAATTTCACAGTTTCTTTTTACACAACACTCACATTTATTTAAATGGGTTATTATTTTTTTAATTTATTTATTTCTAAAAATAAACATGTTGTTTTATTATTGTTGATGTGTATATAATTGTGTGGGCGTGACGTATTTGTGTGTAAGTATATGTATGTAAAAGTATATATTATTGTATGAATGGTTGTCCATCCATCTAGTCTACACCTAACCCTCATTTCCTTATACACATTTATTTCAGAGGATTATGAAGAGAAAAAGAAGGCTGGTCTTTGTAAGGCTCTGAAAAATTCGCATGTCTTTTAATTTTCATTTGCATTCCCGAAAAAACATTAAATTAGTCATGGCTATAAGGACTGTGGTTCTCTATGTTAGGATAATGGTGCTTCGTGCAAATTAGAATCCGCAGGCTATGCAATTATGTAAACTAGGTCAGAGTATCTTATTTACATTGAATATAGTCCGTTTAAATAAACAAAAAAATAAGTTGCTTAAACAAATAAAACTATAAATTTCCAAACCAAAACTCAATTTACCAAAATCTGTGGAAAACATTTTGCCGTGGAAAGGAAAAATGATATTTGTTTGGCTCTGTATTTTGCGACAAAAATTCTTATTTTTCTGTTAAAATTGTGTGCTGTGGTTAATTTGCGTGTGAATTTTGTTCCCCAAGGTTATGTTTCTTTTCTTACAAGAAAGAAGAGTTTTTGCATGGATATATTTTTTAATTGCATATGGATCCCATTCTTGTATTATTTCCCATCAGCCTTCATGGGTTTACATGCACTATCAGTGACTACCCTGGCTCTTAAACAGGACAGTCACTGAGAATCTACACATAGTTATTAACAAAACTTAAAGAAAAGGCTGTCTGAATACACACCTGCACAAGGTCATGGAGAATACAAACTTCCTCTCCTCAGTCCTTGGTTGCATAAATATGTGCTGGTTTTTTTTATGAAATTAAAGCAATAATATTTGTTTAATATCTGTAGACCTGCGAGTTAGATAAAATTGTAATTTTGTCAAGATATCAGCAAATACTTTTGTCAATCAATCGATATGACCACAGTAGGCCACTACATCTCTTATTGTGTTTAGCTAGAAGGATCAACCAATTAAATATGATTCAATCTTAAAGTCTAAGACTTTAGGGGCATAGTTAGCAAATAAGTACAGTTGCAGTCAACACAGCCGGTGTAAATAGACAAAGCTTTTCATCCGCTATCACTAGACATAGAGATGAAAAGAATATGAAATTGGCTTAATTCGAGTTGGATCAAGATACAATAAATTTAAATATTTATAAATGTCATTTAAGTAATTGTTTAACCTTGATATGACTTTAAATTGCCAGTTGAAAAGATTATTATTGTTGTTGAGGACTAGGTGGAGCGATCACCCTATTAAAATATATTAATTTATCCATATGCATTTATTTAACTATGTATTTGAATGGTTGAAATTGTGTTCCGCTGCCTAATAATAAATCTCCTAAGCATCATCCATTGAATTGGTCCCATTTTCCCAACTTCTAGTGTTTGAAAAAATCAAAATGGAAATGGAAAGACATATATATATATACTTGATGAGAGAATTTTGTCCTGTTTGCACCATGGATGGATAATATATTCAGTAATTAAGAATGACCAGCAGTTTATTCAGTTTGTTTGTATAACTGTATATATTTATGTTATTTTTTGATTTTTTTTGCACTTATTGCAATATGACGAAAACAAATAAAAGCTACACAATATATGTAAATAGAATTATGATATTATCAGTTTTATTAGCATGAGTTTGGATACATAAGATTAAATATACTGGTGCAGGTTGTTGTGTGATATGAATTTGCATGAATGGGATTGGCTGTAAGAATGTTTTGACAGCAAGAATTAGGTGGTGATGGGTGCCTTCTTTGTGCAATAAATATGTCATTATTTTTTAATAGTTTAATTTCAAAATGGAGTACACTATGTGATTCAGATAGTGTTTATAAAACCTCTTCGAAAGATGGAAAATGTATCACTTAAATTCAGGAGAAAGAATTTACAAATTTTTAAATTTAAATGATAAGAAGACTATGTGAATTTCATGATTATTCCATTTTGAAACTAAACAGATTATTTTTGAAATCTTGGTGCTGGTATTATTTTATATTTTACTTACAGTAGATTTTTATTTAATCATGATTGTTGATTGTGTAAAAAAAAATCATCAATATTAGTTGAAGTTGCAGTATTGATAATTATTAGCCAGAGCTATGTGAATGCTTTGAATGATAAGTGGATAAACAGATCCGTTTTCATAAAGGCTGAAAGAACAATTTAAATAGATATTTACCAAATAATATTTTGAGAATAGATTTCAAAGGGTATTTAGAGATAAAAATCAGATTAAATTGGAAACAATTTACAATTAGCTTGTCTTAAATTTCAAATAATATTTTTAGCCATTCAGAAATGATAGCTGATAACTGTCTTGATAACTCGTTAAATGAATATCCTTGTTTATCGGTACATGTGGCTTGATACTTAGGCAAGTAGTATGAAGTCATGGTTATCCATATACATGTATATCTGTTTTAACTTTGTAAAATTTTTGGACTGATATTCCTATTAGAGATTAAACTTTCACAATATTGTTGTTTGAAAGGGATTCCTATATCACTAAAACAATGGTTTGAGCATCTAATTAATTCTCTATTTTATCTGCTATTTTATCGATACAGTTCCTTCATTATTTGCTTTTGAAACAAAATTTAATTTTGAATGATAGTTTAAACTAATATCAGGCAATGAATTAAGATATTGATGATTTATTACAGTTTCAACAGAGCTTTTTATACATAAATCATTTAATAGAAACATCTTTTATATCTAAAGTATGTAATCGTCAATAAAGTATTTATATCGTGTTGCTAATTGGTTTAGATAAGGTCTTTAATTCCATTTCTTAACAGTCTAAACTGATAACAGTAATCAATCACATTCATGTAAACCACATTCTTGAATATATATACCATAATTGTTTTAAAGTATATTAAAACTAATATCTAACTCTAATATTTTAGAAAGTCATCCAACTTCATCAATCATTTACAAGTTAATTAAACTTATTTCAATATTTAAAAGAGGAATTTATTACATGTGTATGTGCATTTAGAAAAGATTGTGAAATTTTTATAATTTTTTCAAATAAAATCGTTTTGATCTTCCCTCTATATTTTGGAATAGTTGGTCGATACATGTACAATAAATTATGTGCATGTTCATAAATCATGTGTTGGTTTTGTTTTCAATTCTCTATTCTTACTAAGGTAATATCACTTTGTTTCTACTTGCATAGAAACAAATTCCAATTAAAGATAGGTTTCACCGGTAAATTCCTCTGTTAAATATTGTAATAAATGTTAAATATTTACAGTAATATTGTTTCACAATACTCAAACTTATATTTGAATGTTTTGTAGATCCCAGTGCTGAAATTGGTTCTCTAGATCTAGAAATTCAAGTTAATGCTGCTGCTACCGTCCTCAAAGGTTTCTTTTCTGACCTTACTGACCCCTTGATTCCTGCATCACTGTATGAAGAATTAATAGAGGCTGCTGGTTAGTTTATCTTGCACAAAAAATAAAACCTATACTTAATCCACCCAGTCTGTTTGGTATTAAGGATATCTTAAGCCGCGGATGGCCATTTGCATTTTCTGGCATTATCTAATTTTTCATATCAGATGTATATCAACATTTGTAAGTATCTGTCTGGGCATAGAGTTACATTGGCATGCGAGTAAGGTGCTGGCTTATCGCTGTGCATGTAAAACAACCCTTGGCAGTTGGAATTCGAAGGAGAGGAGGCAGAAACGCTGCTGTCTGAACAAAATTTCCCACATAGCACACTGCATGAAGTTTACCGTTTTATTTTCCAGTAGTATGTTTCTTTAGACATTTCATATAGGAAAAGACTTATGTGTCATATCTATATCTTATTATACCTACTCTTACATCCAGTCCTTATACAGGAGAATTTGTTAATTAGAATGTGTTATATAAATTAAACTTACCTATTTACAGGTGTACATGATAAAAGCAGTCGGTTGTTAGCTTTAAGAGGTGTATTAAAAAAATTACCTGAGCAGAATTTTGAAGTGCTAAAATACCTCATGACACATCTTAACAGGTTTGTTGTTTACTTAGATAATTTAAGTGAAAATACATTGTTGATTACAGGATCAGTTTTGTTCTCTTTTTCTAGAGAGCGAGAGAAAAAAGGGACTTGCATTAGCTTTGGTTCAGTGGCCTTTTGTTCTTCGAGATCACCTATTAAAAATTTTGCTTCCTATAGGTATTTATTTGTCAAGACTGCAATGAACTAAAAATTAAACAGGCTTGGCGTTATTGGTGATAGAATGATTATCAGCAAAACAAAACTTTAGAACATGGCTTGCATAAATTTTCATTTTCAATACTTTTTATATGCCCACTCGTATTTTGAGCGTATATAGTCATCGCCCCTAACGTCCGGGACAAGTAATGGCTGAAGGAACTCTTGACAGTTATTTTCAAAGCACATTATTCTGAATAACCATTAGTAAATGCAGGGAAATGCTTCTATACTATTAATTTCTTGTTTGTGGTATTCATATATACAGTACATTCTCAAGAAATGAAATGCTTATTTTTTTGTTGCATTCATGATTAAAAAATTATTCCATAGTAGAAAATGAATGTATAATTATTTTTTATAATTACAGAGTAACCCAGAATCACCAATATAATAACATGGACTCAAGTAATTTAGCCATTTGTTGGTGGCCAACCATAATGAGATTAGAATTTAAGTCGTATGAAAATATGGCTCTCCATACTCGCTATCCTGTAGAAATTGTTATGACTGCCATTGAACAGTGTAATTTTATGTTTCATGGAGGTGATGAAGTATGAATAATCTATAGTGCTTAATATAATGGTTATTTATTTTAACATATAACTTTCCAAAATGGCTGCCCCCTGTAAAATTCAGCTGGTTGCTAAGGATTACAACTATTTGGATGGAGCTATTTAATTACTTATGTAAAATATTGATAAATAGACGAAGAAGATGGAAATATATCTGGCATAATATACAGGAAATCCCAAAGAGTGTAATAGGAAGACATCTTTAATCTGTGTTTGTTGTGGTGGAAAGTTATGAGTGTAGCTGTGTTATAACATTGTTTGAAAGTGCTAAATCTTGTTCAAGATTGGAGTTTATTTAGAGAATTATTACCTTGCCTTAAAAGACTATGTAGCTATATACTTAGACACTTTTATAAAATCAGATAATATATTGTCATCACTGCATGCTGCATTTACAATCACAAAAATCACTGTACAGTAGCACAAATCTTTCATATTTACAGATTTTAGTAAGAATAGTTAAATAATAGGTCATTGGCTTGCTTGAAGGAATGCAGAAGTTAGGTTTTTCAACTTAGATAATTAATTCATAAAATTTTGTATAAAGTACTTTTTGTTCTTAACTTTAAAAAAAGTTAAATTAACCAAACATACGATACTTAAAGATACATTATGGGAGATTAGATAAAGAGTTGAATGTTGTCACTATGATAATTAAAAAATAGATAATGTAAATAGAATATGTTGAAAATTTCAGTCAAATTGCTCGACTCAGAACCGAGATATTAGCTTTTGAATTTTAAGACTAGACTTAATCATCATTACTAAAGTCGGTACGATAAAAAACATAGTCTTGATTATCCATTCTTGGATTTATCATCAATGAGCGTAGAGCAGCAGATCGGATTCAAATCCAGTGAAAATCTGACACATAAGATGACATTAAGAGTTGATTATGGTCTTGATAAGTTAATTAATGTCTAATTAATAGTTTATATAACATTCCAGGCCTCAAGAAAGACCTGCAATAGGCAGATTTAGCTCTTGCATAATGTATGTTTAAAGAAAGACTTAAATTTATTACTACATTTTATTCGACTAGATATCTACAGTTTGCTAGTAATATGGAGCTATAATCATTGCTTTTCTAGTTATTTCTTCTTGCCACAATGTCAGGAGTTATAATGCCTTATTAAAGTATAAATTTCTAACAAGTATTTTAAACTGTCAAAATATTTAAGGTCACAAAATTGTGCTTATTAGAGAGAAATAATTAAACTTATCCCTTTTTTTATTATTTTTCATCAAGATTCTTCTACAGTCCTTTCCAAAATAACAATTCTTCTTTTTCGTATGTGGACTTCTGTCAACATAGAAAAACTTTGAAATAGGATATGTTGTCAGTATTTGACTATATCTCTGATAAAGTGATCATTAAAAAACATGCAGATTATCATTAATAGATTGTGTAAAATTATAGGTTAACTTCAGGCATCTTCACAATAACCATTAATAAAATGAACCATTGTTTGACAATATGAAAGGCTACTTTACAATTTTTTGAGAATATGAATTGCCTATTTTGGAAGTAAAATGTTATTTTTTCATGAAGTTATTTGTATGAATACTTAACAGCAGTGTAATTAAAATTATACCAATTGTTGAGACATTTGATATGCTGTCTGATCAATGTCAAAAATATTATTATGCTGTTGTCACAGGCCCCAAGATGTCCTTAGATACCAGTTGAGTGACAATCGTATTAATGAAATTGAAGTCTGATATTAATTAGATTGGTTTAACAGAAAAGATTTTATCGATTTTTAGTGTAAGTCACAAGTATCATATGGACTACATAAAGCCAAAAAAATATAATAACAATTCATCAGCTTTTCTGCTTAAAAAAATAATATGTAATAAATGTGATGCAATATAGTGACATCAAGAACTGTCTGTAAGGAAAGTTATCAGGTACACTCGATCTTATGTTTATGTACATGAAAATATTGTGTTCAAATTATTTTTGTCCTTGACTTTTGTGATAAGTTGTGTATACATGTATTTCTATTATGTTATGCATATAATTACATGTAAATTCAATATCTAATACATTCACGAAATAACAATAAAATGTTTTGGGTGGTCTTGTTTCACACAAGTGACATTATTTGCAAAATAAATGTTTTAAGTGCACTGCACTTTCATAACTAAATTCTGGACTGGGACAAAAGAGTATCCTTAATATATTTTATTTGAGGTTTTCATAAAGAAGGTCCAAAGGTATGTAAAACTGATAAAATATATACTCTTTTTTTATTCAGTTTTAGTTTATTTATTTTTAAAATATATTATTTTGAAAAACAAGCAAAGTATTGAGCTTTAGATTGTCTTATATACTGATCTTCTGCTATCATATAAGGATGTTATATAAGGGGTTTGGAAAGGATAATGACATAAAAGTATTATTGGCCTATATTTAGAATAAAGACTCTGTTAGTAGAATCATGGACAGTAGTTTAGGAATTTTATGTTCAATAATATTATTAGTTTATTCTAGTAAAGTGCTATCAGTATTATTTTGATTATTATTTATTTATGTATAAATTGAATTAATTCAAGATAAACATATTATTAACTAATAAGTTTTTGATTGAGCATATACATTCATGTTATTCATGATCTTAATATATTATATTAATTCACGTTTATTTGAATATTGACTAATTGACTATATATATCATATAAGTATAATATCATAAATGTTTATGTTTGGCGAACTCACATGGCATGTTATATAAGATTTATTTATGTAAATATATATATGAACTTATTGTAAGATCTAGTTGTTGTATGAATGATGTTAAAAGAATGGTGTTTAATGATAAGCTATGTATGATTTTAAAGAAAACTTAACTCCGCAGTAGTATTTGTGAATATATATTCAGTAAAATCACATATGATATGCCTCGTGTTCTGTAAATGTTTATCTTTTCTCCATTGATCAGCAGACGATCTTCCGATAGGTGTAACTAGCATAATTTCAAGAAGGAAACACCGGTACTTTTGCTTTAGCTTTGGATGTACATGTATGTTGAAAGACTTTTTTTAATTCGATCCCCCACTGTCGATTGGACAGACAGTTCCCATAAGATAATTGGCTTATCTCAAAATTGTCATGTATTGATGGTATATTTGAGTATCTGTTGGATTAGAAAGTTATGCCTGACTAAGAATTACTATTGAGAATATTATTTGTGGAGTTAAATTTTGTTTAAATGAGAACCTTTTTACAAAGCCATATAACATTATCCGCATATATAATTTACATTCAGACAGCACAAAAATGTTAGTCATCAGGTGTTTTTGTAAAGTATATATATACCGTATATTTCATTATCTAGTCTGCCATATTCATATCGAAAGTCATAATGATCTTCAGTTTATAAATTCTTGAATTTTAATAAGATAGATCTAGAAACCATACAGTTTTATTTTATAATACCTGGTATATATATATGACAATATAGATAACTCCTAGTATTAGAATGGTATTATATACTAATATATTTACATTTTAAAAATTTGAGTGCTCGTCTTCGAATGTACTGTTAAAAAAATCATACTCATATTAATACTTCCATGAATATGTTATCCTTGGAAACCACACTCTTAAGACAATAAATCTTCTCCTTTTGATTTACGGCTTTTCTAGTACCTGTGGAAATTTGATATTTATTTAAGTGAATTAAAATAAAAGTAATCTCTTAAAAGCATAAATATCATAGAATGTAAATATCTGAATCAAATGCTGAAATATATGGGATAAGATGTGTCAAATCAGCATTATAACGTTTTACATTGTGGCCAAAGAAGATTCATTAGCCAAGGAATCAGGGCTCTCGTTTCAATCATATTTGCCAGTCCAAACTGATTGACATTGAAATCGACTGGCTGATTAATTGACCTTTGATGTCAATTTTACCTGTCAGGGAGTAAGGATGTGTTTAAGAATTTGCATCTTAAAACAGCATAACACTACAAAATATGTAGGTTTGTAATGTGCATAACAAAAACAAAATTGACTTATTCAAGCAAAGTAAATATTGGGTTATAAGATTTACAAAATAGTGTATGAAAAACTTTGAAGCGAGGGTGCTGCCATTTATGTACAATTCTAAATCATGTCTATTCAACACTTCTTTGTTATTGTTTTCTGCCAGTGCACTCATAAATAATGTCTATTACCAAATGGCAGCTACTATTACTTAAGGTATAGTTTTACTTGTTTATGTTTTTCTTTGTTTAATTTTCTTTTTTCTTTAAATGGCCTTTTGATACTGTACATTAAGAGTTGAATTTAATATCAATGTTACTGATGATGAAAAATCTGTGTGCCTTGATTCTTTTGTTTCAACTTTCATAACTTCTGGTTTAGGGAAATAGGTATAGGAGGTCTAGGTGGTGGTTCTAGGGTTGGGGCATTGAAAACACAATGACAGAAATTGGAAATAAGTAATATAAATATTAAACATTGAGGTAATGGAACTTTGAAAAAAATCTATCATGCCCCTACCTTACACCTGCAGTTAAAAAAAATAAAATAGGATTGGTCACTGCTAGTTATATAATTTAAAATGGCCTTTTCATATTGCATAACCATAAAAGGTCTGAAAGTTTGAGACTCGGTTATCACAATATCCTTCATGTACTTTACAGTTTATGTTGAGATATTTTTGTTTTATTTAAAGAGAAAAATTGTGCAATTTACTTAAGACAAATATTTTTAACAGGCTAGTTTTCCCTTTAACATACTCTTAACTGTTGGTTATTAACAATGTACAATTTCAAATTATGGTGTCATTAAGCTTAACACTTATATTGTTGTATGTTGGAGTTCTTCCACTGTAAACTCCTAGTGAAATTGTTCTTATTCGTGCATCCTTTGATGTGATCCTCTGATAAAACAAGCCAATTAATATGTTGATAAATGTTTTGTATAATGCTGTAATATATTGTGTTATATTATCAAATGCAACATTATTATTACATGGTTAAATTGTACATGTATGGTTGAAGTGTGTTAATTGTACCATATATTATATATATACATATATGTATATGTGTGTGTTAAATGTATCATATATGTGTTCATTGTAAAGATGTTATTGTTATATTATGCTTATTAAAAGTTATGAGATCATCTGTGAAAATTGCAACTAAATCCTCACTGTTTTTATATAAATTATACATATATTCATGTATATATATCGTTGGCACATCTTATCAATTACTTATCTTGTATATTTCATGTAGTTTCCATCTAGTATTGTATTCGTTGTTCATTATATTTTGGACAGTAGAAATTCTTTTTTAAGAAGCAATTCAGCTAACCATTTTGTGATTTTTAACAGAGCTGTGTTTTGTATAGTGTTGTTGAATGCATGAATCCACCACCTAGATTGTGGATTTTTCCCCCTTCTGCTGTTAATAATTTTGCTTGTAAACCAGGCTGTCTGAGAAATAAATCACAAAACTATGATAGCTTGTTACCTTATTTTTATACTTAAAGATGCATTATGTAAGATTTAAATAAAGAGCTGGCTGTTCTTGCTATAAATAGAGAATCTCCTTCCAGTCTTTTTTGATATTTTTTGATATCAAAAAAGACGAGTAGGAGATTTTATTTATCACCCAATCCCTTCTTACATGCACAAATAGATAAATATAATTCTTTGCTGAAGATTTAACTTTTACTGAACATTATGGCGTAGTGATACATCATTTTTTGACAGCAATTCAACCATTGCAAAGTCCTTTATATTGACCCAGTGTTTCCATCATGGTCAATTGAATAACAATAGTTCATTTTTAATTTAAAAAAAAGTTACTTTAAATAAGAAATGAACTGTTCTTTGAAAATAAAAAAAAGTAGTTCATTTTCAACTGACCAATCAAATTCATGTAAAGCGATATCTCCTAAGGAGATTATGAAATATATCACACAAGCGATATCTACTGTAGAATGTATTATTGGGTGATAATAGTTCTAAAACAGATAATGAAAAATGTGTATATTGAAAATTTCATTCAAATTATTTTATTTTGGGTCAAGTTATGACTATTTGAAGATGTAACATAGATTGTTTGTTATTATATCAACAGTAATTGACAACAAAGACTTAGCCTAGATTATCCCTTTTATTTTAAAATCTTGCGGGTGTTCAACTTCAAATCTGAGCCATCTGATGGTCTAGACTCGACAGAGTTGATTATGGGCTTGTCATGTGAATAAATGTCTAAAACTAATTTGTTACATTTGTAGCCAAAAGAAACATCTACAATAGGCAAATTTAGCTCTTCCATAATGCATCTTTAAAATCCTTATTTGATCTTCTAGCAGGACACTGCTTGTCAGCATACTGGCTATTTTTCTCCACTTCATATAGAAGTATTACTTCTTAGAAATATGCCTAGACTAGTCATGATCCTAAGGAAATTTTGACTGAAGAATGACGAAGTTTGTCTGGAAATTACAAGTTTTCATCAGGAGTAGATAAAATCAGAGAAGGAAGGCTATTGACATTCACTCAATGCAGGGGAACTGGTTCACTCAGAGATTGACATATACTTCATTAATGTGCATGTGCTCTAGCAGGGGTTTCAACCAGAGGAAACTGTTGCTCATACCATCTTGCACCTTGTCTCGTACAATTTTATTTTAAAGCATTGCTACGTTTGTCAAATAGGGTTTCATACGCCCACATTGAAATGTACCGGTAGTCATATTTTGTCGTCTGTCCGGAATACACAATTGCTTGTGAATGCTTTAGATGCTAAAGTTAATATCAGATGGACTTAAATTTATATATAGCGTTTAAGGTCATGAGACAAAGTTATGGCCCTTGATCACTTTGAAATATCTTGTGGACGCTCTGAAGGCAAAAGTTAATATCCGATTTTACGTTAAATTATGCACAGTGTTTAAGGTCATGAGACAAAGAAACCTGTTGATTTTGAATGATTTCCATTATTTCTGCTAGTGTTATGGCGCTTGATTACTTTGTAATATCTTGTTAGTGTTCTAGAGGCTAAAGTTAATATTCGATTGACTTTAAATTTATACACACTGTTTAAGGCCGTGAGACGAAGAAACCTGTTGATTTTGAATGATTTCCATTAATTACTGCCAGAGTTATGGCCCTTGATCACTTTGTAATATCTTGTTGGTCTTCTGGAGGCTAAAGTTAATATTCGATTGACTTTAAATTTATACACAGTTTAAGGCCGGAAAGACTAAGTAGCCTACTGATTTTCAACGATTTCTCTGTTAATTACTGCCAGAGTTATGGCACGTGATCCCTTTGAAAAATCTTGTGGACATTCTAGAGGCTAAAGTTAGACAAACAATCAAAACAAATTATAATGAATTCTGATAATTACTTAATAGGTTGTTACTCATAATCGCATTTTCATGTGTTGTAAATGTTTTCATTACTGACAACACTTGTTGACTCCCCAGACGACTTAGCTGCTGTGGGTGTATGTTTCATTGCCTGGTAACCTATCTTTTATGCAGGGTTACTTTCCCTATTATGTGGTCTATACCAAAAATCTTGTAAACGCTTTACTGGTCAGAGTGAAAATAATGTTTTGAAGGTCTTGGAATTGTTCAACTTATCAAAGTCAAAATTCAGAATTGTGCATTTAGTCCGGCGACTCAAGGGGAAGTATTGCCACCCGAGAGGAGAATTTATGACACCAAGTTTTACTAGAGTAGTTTTTTGCTTACATTGTAATTTTGGGGGCTTTTCCAAGATGAAGGAGGATGGGGTGCTTCCAATGTCTAAAATTGGGTGGAAATGTGAATTTTACATTGAGTTGTGCATTTAGTCTGGTGACTCAAGGGGAAGTATTGCCACCCGAGAGGAGAATTTATGAGACCAAGTTTTACTATAGTAGTTTTTTGCGTAGATTGTAATTTTGGGGGCTTTTCCGAGATGCCGGAGGATGGGGTGCTTCCAATGTCTAAAATTGGGTGGAAATGTGAATTTTACATTAGAGTTATTTCCCTTGTAACTGCAACTTTCTAAATTTTCTATGGTTTTGAGATTTTTAATTTGACCTTGCCACAAAGGTAAACCCGAATCAAAATTCTGAATTAATTCTTGTCACTCAAACGCATTCCGAGTTATTACTTCTTGGGCAAAGTAACATTACGTGGCACCCCCACAGCCTCTATTCAAAAAGCTATTGTAGGGCACATTTTCATTACCAGTCAACATGTAAATCAATTTTATTAACCATTAGATGGAAGAAAATTCCCCATTTTACAGTTAGCTTTGGTGGAAACAGGTAAACTTGTAACTACATTTAGCCAATTTAATAGAGGTGGAAGAAACTAGTATACCTACTCACCCCAAAAAATCTTCTGGAGGAGTGTTTTCACTATTCAACTAACAGTATTTTCTATACCAAAAATCTGATTGGTATTTAGTAAAATTACTGTGTTATTGTTAGCTGAAGATATTCCACCCAACCACAAATATAAGTTAAGTATGTAAACAAATATAAGTTAAGTATGTTATAACTTAACTACAAACACAATTTAAAACAGTTTAATTCTTTTTCACACCAACCATACAAAATAAAATTAAAATGAAATCCTGTATACCAGGCAATTGGTTTGAGACTTCAATAATTCTTTCTAAGATACGGCAATGAACAATATAAAACAGATGAAACCGTTTAGCCATAAAGACATAGCCAAACATTTTTTCCGAAATTAAATGATGGCAAGGGACATTAATGAGTTACCTTCTTTCTAGCTAGCATACAAGCAAAACTAAAAACAAGTAAATTTATAATTCGAATATATCTAGAAGTTTAACTTTTCACAGAACTATAATCTGTCCTTTTTTCGAGGGTTGGATATCACTTCTATAATAAGAGTTTGTTTTAATCTATCGAACAATTGAGGGTATATTTATTGCTACCAATCACTTCTCTTCACACCATTCATTTTCTTTTCGAACCTAGAAATAAAGATTATATCAACATGTTAAAATTATTACACAAAACATATCATCCCAACTTGCTCCTAAATGATCTCATATTTTACAAATAATGAGCAATTTTGTATTTTGTATTTTTTCTGTTTCAGTCATGAATATTCATTCCTGATTTGAACTCCGAAAAGTGCCTGAATAAACTTGCTTGAAAAGGACAAGAAAAATCGGTAATAATCCAAATTAAGAAAAGGTTTATCAAACTACATGTACCTGTTCTTCTTCAGCTGGAGTAAAATCGTTTTTAATATTAAACGTTTTACGAATCTCTTCTGGTGATTTTCCTTTGATCATATTAGCTACTGTTTTACATGTAACATCTAATAAACCTTTAATATCCAGATAATTAGCAGCCTGAAAATAACAATATTATTATAGGTATGTGTATGTCTGAAATTAAGCATAAACTTTTGAATCTTTTGTCATACATTAAAGGACAGTATTGGTGCCAGTCATTATCACATATGTGATGGAGCTGGTTAAACACATTCCAAATATAATTTTAACACAGAGATCATTGCTACGATAGCTGAGTAATACAGGTTTCCTGAATCAGAAGTGACAAACGCCAAAGGAAAACATGAGTCATCTCTCTATATAACTGACTGATGTGACGAGTGATAACAGATACACGGCCGTATTTCTGCTCACTAATAATTCTTTCGAAGACCAAAAGTTGTTATATGGGACTGTAAGAGGATACCTGACAATTCAATAAAGTAATTGAATGTCATTAGACAAGAGAACACAAGAAAAATAGAAATAGTCCGTACATTCCCTTGTTTATATTCATTCTATACCTTATAAAAACATGGTAATGCACGGACTTTTTCTGTTTTTCTTTCGTGTTCACTTATCTAGTGGCAGTCAATTCTTTTTATGAATTGTCAGATATCTTCTCACAATCTCACACAACAACTTTTGGTCTTCAAGGGAATTATTAGTGAGCAGAAATTCGCCCGTATATCCGTCTACATTTGGACAAATAATATTCCTTTCAAATATCTTTTATAATTCAAGGCTTACTAATATAAGTTCAAAAAGTGTTCCTTGATCAACTTTAAGAAATTCTGCATCCCAAGAACAAATGTCATCTGTTCGTTTTTCTTTATTTTCATCGTCTTCAGGTGGTGGAGGATCATCTTTATGGTATGTACACCACTGTATAACTTTTTTTAATATGGCAGCATTAACATTTGGTAAAGGGACAGGTTCTTCTTCATCTTCGTCCATTCCAAGATCTATAAATATATATAAGAAATTAATTGAAGTTATCCATTCATCCTACAACAATTCTACGATCTGCATACAAACAAAATTCCACCCATTTAATATGGTTACAAGATATTTATAACAAAATAGATACCAGAGTAAATATGCTATACTTGTGCATACATATGTATGCTATATTATCTATTCATAAAAATTATGAAGACCCCCATCTTTTTGAGATACCGGTGAATTGAACAAAAACAAATGTTTCCATGGTTATGTGACTGGATGAACTGTCAATCTTACAATCTAACATAGTTTTGATGGTTACCATATAAAATAACATACCGGTAGTTTGGATTGAATGGTGATATTATATGATGTTATCTGAACATAATTTTAAATTAAAAGGAACATAGTTTTAATGATGCTATGATTGTTTAACTTACCTTCTAACATAGTTTTGATGGTGACTGACTGCTTTGCAATCTCCACATCAACTTCAAAAATTTCTCCATCTGAACTCTGTAGCTTGATTGACGGCATCTAGAAGAAATTATAAAGGAAATGGGATTAAACAAACATGCTAGCAAATTCAATGTTTCCACACTTCAGAAAACTATAATCCTGGTAAATGTGGGAGGAAGATTGAAGGGAGTAGGAATTGAAGCTTCTTCATAATCGTTGCTTGAAATTATCTCATTCTCGATCCTCTCTCTGGTTTTCAAGAGTAATCAATTGATTACAAAAAAAAAGTTACATAACTCCCTTAATATACGATTAATCTGTTCCCTAATGGTACTACACATAGCTTAACTAATCGAAATTGAAATAAAAGTGAAACATTATACCGCATAATTCTATAATTTTGAAACCATGATGGACATATAGGCCTACAATATATCAATCATGATTCATCATTGCATGAAGAACTGAAATCATGAGAAATAAAACACAAAATAGTGTCACTTAATTTAAAAATCTATATTATTTTTATATGCTTACCCTTTTTGGCACAATAATTACAAGAAATTAAAGAAGGCGGTATGCGTATAGCGTGGTCAGCAATATTAATAGATTATGTTCTTAACTATAATAGAGAGTTATTCACAACACTCCAACAAACATTACTTTCCGTCACAACAACAAATCCGCCATGAGTCAAAGGATTGTGGGATATATAGGACTAAGACTAGTAATTATTTCCCCTTATTTCATGATGGGTAGTGCGAGTTATAAAATAGACAATTTTTCCCTTAATTTTTTTCTCCCCTTTTTCTGCATTTTTGGGTTGACTTTTTGGTCTAGAATTGGAGAAAAGGGATCAAATTTGCAATTTCATAGCAGTTTTGGGTAATACTGAAGATATTACAGCGGAGGGATAGGGGGTGTAAAGTGTCCTTCTGCAGAGCAATCATTGTGTCGAAAGTGAGATTTTCACCCAAGTCAACTTCAAATTCGCGAAGCAAAAAATCTAATTAATGGTCAACCCCCTACAAAATTATGATGAGGAGATTGCTATGGTGGCTGAAAGCGTCCATTTAGATCGGCGGGTTTCTAGATACAACGCGAGGGTCGCCGTTAAGCCAGCACGACGAAAAAGGCGCCGATCGGCGACTTTTTCGTCGTACTAGCATAACGGCGACCCGCGACTTTCACAACACGAGAGTCGCCGTTAAGCCACGCGACGAAAAAGTCGCCGAAAAAATCGGCGCCATTTTCGGCGACTTTTTCGTCGCTCTGGCTTAACGGCGACTCTCGCCTCGGAAGTTTATAGTAGTTACATGCGCAATGGCTACATTTTACTTCTAGTATATAAAATCATAATGCAGGAGATTTTGGATGAGTTTGGGCTGTCGAGCTATATCAACATTTTCAGTGACACTAGGGCAAATTAACATTTATGAGTGTTACAGACACGTGTACTTTCAAAACCTGTTTAGATACACTGGAATTAGATTTAAAATGTACACGTCTTTATATCACTAAATATTTCCCCATTGATTTAATGTTAATTCTCGTATCTTTGTCCGGTGTGGCTGTTTCAGATGGTCCCTGGTGTGTGATTACCGTTTGGCGCATGCGCAGTTGTAGGAGTCACCTCACACCGTTACAGACGCGGTGTGCATTGACTCCTCGTGATAGGATTTCTCCTAAGATGTTCTTACGGTCAAATCAATATATTATAGACTATTATATATTTACAATATTACCACTAAAAGAGGATGCAAATTGACGATCTTTATTATTATTATTTAGTATATATACCCGTCCACAATGCGAACATTCTCTCTTGTATTTGGGCTGTCTACATGCATGTTTGAATGTACGTATGGGATGGTGTAATAAATCTATATTTATGTTAAAGAAATCGGAATAAGAAATTCAATATTTTTATATTTGTGTTAAATGAAGCCACGAAATATCAAAGGCCTTAATCTTCCTTTGGAGGTGAATTAATTGATAATTTCAAGCCAATCATCAAAATTGTTTGGTTTCCACTGATCGTATGTGTGTAGAACGACTGATCACTAAAAAAAAACAACGGCAACAAATCACGAACGAAGTATCAATTTCAAGCCGATCAACTTAGATCCGTTGATCGTGTAACTACTGATCACTAAAACAACAGGTATTTTATTAATGACAAAACTCTAATCAAGTACATGATATATTTTTTCCTGTACTGACCAGTGGTCAGGAACCAACTCACAATGCAGGAAGTAGATAGTTTCGTTGTTAAGGCAAACATCAGTTTCGGACATGCGCAAGTGCCCAGGAGAAAACACACACCAGGAGTCAACTCAAACTATCACACCTGGTCTAACTTTTTCCCAAATTTTCGTTCGGTAGAACGCTTTCTGTCACAGATGGAGCAACATGTGGCAAACTCTTGCACAAAAGCATGTATGAGGTTCACCATGAAAAACTTGAAATACACAAGCTGGAAGTATAGAGACGAGTAAACGTGCAATTTTCGGCCCTACATTTCAACCTAACCGACCTCTCAAAATCATGAATATTCACCAAAACCTAGCAGGAAATTTATTTTCAAACCCCTTTCTTCGATTCTACACCAAAAATCGCCATACAAAAGGGGGGAAAAGGAAAGGGAGAGAAAGATTAAAAATAACTTTCGCTCTACATTGGTGGGTGACGGCGTAGAAATATTTGGTGATCCGTGTGCGTAAAATGTGGCCATTGCGCAGGTAACTAACTATAAACTTCGGAGGCGAGAGTCGCCGTTAAGCCAGAGCGTCGAAAAAGTCGCCGAAGAAGGCGCCGATTTTTCCGGCGACTTTTTCGTCGCGTGGCTTAACGGCGACTCTCGTGTTGTGAAAGTCGCGGGTCGCCGTTAAGCTAGTACGACGAAAAAGTCGCCGATCTGCGCCTTTTTCGTCGTGCTGGCTTAACGGCGACTCTCGCCTGTGATGTTACAGCCATTTAACATTGAAGTCAATGGGCAAATAATTGCTAATCTGATTCCATATTATGGGTTTTCGTCTCGATCATCCGGGGCCCTTATTCACGAAAACTTAAACTAAGTTACAACCGAAATTTTAAGAAATACCTTCATTGGATATATGCAAATTGATTTTACTGGTCAGCCAATCGAATTGCAGTATTTCTTAAAATTTCGATTGTATCTTAGTTTAAGTTTTCGTGAATAAGGGCCCAGACCAGTATTAGGTCCATGCTCAGAGAGTTGGTGGCCACAGATAATAATAACTTTATTTTCAAAGGGTTGAAAATTAGGCCAGGAGGCCTGTCTTACATTTTGCCCTTTATAACAGAAGTTAAAGAAGTTAAAAATGAAATTTGAAAACAGAAGAGCAATATTTACAAAAGAATATTAACAAAATCACAATTGAAAATATTAATTACAATCACTAATGATTTCCCCATTGACTTTAATGTTAATTCTGGTCTCTAACTTTTCCCCAAATTTTCGTTGGGTAGAACGCTATCTACCACAGATATGGAGCTTGTCCAATATAGCATGTATGATGTTCTTCATGAAAAACTTGAGATACACAAGCTGGAAGTAGAGAGATTAAACATGCAATTGTCGGCCCTACATTTCAACCTAACCAACCTCTCAATTCTTGTATCCTTCCACCCCAAAATCATGAATATTCACCAAAACTTGGCAGAAGAGAAAGACTAAAATAATAGCTTTGGCCCTTGTTTTGTCCGAATATTTGGTGAGCTGTATCCAGTTAGTACTTAGTACTTGGAGCCACTCTGTACGGAAGCGTATAGAGATCATGCAAAATTTTGTAAAATACCTCGAGATCTTGAAATCCTGTTATACTTTCTCGAGATCCCAATTTAATGTTCTCGCGACCCCCTAATAATTTTCTCGAGATTCTCTCATCCTGTGCTAACAATCTCGAGAAGTCGAGCTAATGTTCTCGTGACCTTGACATCCTGTATAAACTATCTCGAGTATTTTTATACGCTATTTCGTTGTTAACGCGATAGGGGCTACCAGATTTTTAGCTTTCCGCGACCTTTCGTTCCAGAGTTATCTATCCTTTGCCGAAAACCTTATTAACATAGCTTTTAACGGACTTGTTTCAAATTTGGCGCGAAACATTGGGGTTGATTTTTAGCGCTCTTTTTTGTCCGTAAACCATGTTAGCGCGATTGACGCTACAGTTTGTAACATACTTTTTTTTTCTAAATACGGGGTGATGAGAGGACAAACCCTTTTCAGCGTCCTGCGACCTTCTGTTCATTAAAACCCACACCCATTTCTCCAAAACCTTTGTTAACGTCATAGAGGCTTCACTTTTTTTAAGTATTTCTTTCAATTTTTGTGTGAAGCGTTTGGGACATGAGTGCAGCAATCTTTAGTCGAGAGTTACTCTTCATTCTCCGAAAACCTTGTTAACGCGATAAAGACTTGCGTTTTTAATGGATTTTCGATATTCGGTGTTCTGCGACAAGGATAAACCAGTTGATTACCAGCAAATTAAGATTTTGTGTTACAGGGATATGTTTTTTGTCTGAAAAAGCTCTTGAACACGATACAGATCAAATTTCTTGAAGGATTTAGTCAACATTTAACTTTTCTTTTCGGATAATCTGCAGTTGAGACATAGCTGCTGTTTGAGTGCATTTCCACGCTTTGCGTGGCTATCGTTCAAATTTGGTATGAAGCATTGGTGTCATGAGCGGAGGAACCCTATTGATTTTCAGCATTCGGTGGGATTTTTTCTTGTGAACGCGTTAGAAGCTAGATGTTTCGAAGGATTGTTGCCACTAGAGAATGAACCATAGAGTAGTTCCCTGGCTTTTCGTTATGGGGTTATTTCTCTTTTCCCGAATACCGTGTGAACGCTACAGAGCCCAGAGTTTTCACGATTTAAAAAAAAAAAAAAAAAAAAACTACCGCAAGTTTATGTTTCCAATAATTTTACAATTTCTTACAAACTATGAAGAATACAGTTCCTTTCAGTTTTGGTGTGAAGCAAGTGGATTGTTTGTATCGAATTTCAGCAGTGTCTGTTTATTTGTCCATCTACTCGTCTCTTTATAATTTCATCGAGCTATGAAAGCATGTTTTTCAATTTTAGTGTAAGCCATTTGGGGCCATGCGAAAATGAAAAAAAAACCTATCGATTGTCCGTTTATTTGTTCATTAGTTGACAGTTTTCCTTTTTCACAAAGACAAGAGTATTTTTTTATATTATTTTTAGAGACTTTTTTCAGATTTGGTGCTATGTATTGGGTCCATATTCGCTTCACAACACGGAGACACTATGGTGGGCTTTCGGGAAAACTGTAGATAGATCTGGGGGAATTCATTCATATGTTGACAAGTTCTCGATAATATTAACTCGTGATCTCGAGAAAATTTACACGGAATGTCATCTCGAACTCTCAAGATAGTTAACCCGTTAAGTGCGTAGGTCGTTATATTACGTCTTGGACAACTGCCACTCAGTGTGTAGGGCGTAATATAACGCCTTGAAGGTATTTTCCCCAACCTATTCTTAGAACATAGTTGTCACTGGGATTCCCCCACAATCGCAGCATGTGTAGGACGTTATATTACGTCCGGAACAACTGCCACTCACTGTGTGTAGGGCGTAATATAACGCCTTGGAGGTATTTTCCCCAACCTATTCTTAGAACATAGTACATAGTTCTTCGTCACTTTGTCAAATGAATTAC